TCTCCTGTGGAGCATATAAAACGGTTAAATAATAAAAGCTTGATTAGTACAGGTACATTTGTAGATGAGGATGAAAGTAGCATTCTTGATTAAGTCCTAACAGGAGCACATTTTGTATGGTGTGAATATTTTTTTGTACTGAGTCAGATAAACTTATCACATTTATGCTCCTTAAAGACTTCTATCTTGTGCCCTTATAAGACACTCAGCTGGATACAGAAGTCTAATCTCAGTATAATACAGTGTGATGAGATTAGAATTTTATCTTGTGTAATTTGAAATACGTTCCTCTTTAGCCGTTACAGGTGGAAGGTAAACTCCCTCACACTAGCCATGTATCACGCTGAACCCAGCGCAGACAGAATTGTCTCAAGCCTTTTGACATTTTAACTGGATTGGTGGTTAAGCCCATCAACCCGATCAAGGGTTCTCGTCACAGGCTGAGTTTGTGTTTGCGGTGGTTGTCATGGCTGAGGTTGTCTCTGCAATATCAAGGCAACACTGTGAAACTGATCTATGGTATTTTAGGCAGTCAAGGGGCTGAAATTTTCCACTTGTGTTTTAAAGGGGTCTTGCCTCCGGTCACTCATGAGGGAAATCCTGCTCCCCCCACCCACCCACCCAAACTCCTCTGGGACTCACCACCTTCTCTGGTGCTCCACCTCAATGTGGTGTTTTGTAAAACATAGCTAAATTTAAAGGGGCGCCACCATTGTGGCCTTTAAGTAATGCCTCCTGTGAGTCAACTCGACCCTCCCAGTGTTCTGTTCAGTGTCTGACAGCAAGGCCCAGCTGTTGCTCTCTGTGCTGTGCATATAGCTGTCAGTCCTGGGCTATATGTTGCATCTTCGGACAGATTTAGTAATGCCACTTTCCATTATTGTAGTAAGGACAGGACTGCCTGAAGCGGCAAAGAAAATCACACTCAGAGTGAAAGGTGCGTAACATGTTGCAGTAGAAACAAGAGCCTTGGGCCTGAGATGACTAATCCGGTCTTTGTTTTGTGGAGTAAGCAGGTTTCATCTGTTCAGGTCACTTAGCTGTGTTTAGAGGTGAGCAGATGTGCACATCTCCGAGCGTTTTTTTTGTTTGTTTGTTTGTTTGTTTATGATGACTCTTGTACTCACAGATGTAGCTGTGTTTACAAGAATCTTCCTTAGGGCTTCTGAGGTGCCTCGTGCATCATGTTGTCTGGAAAGTTTCACAGACTGATGTGTTCCTGCCACTGCCTTTAATTCAGCCTTAAAACTGATTTTAAAGCAAATACCTTGATTTTAAACAGTCACACCCCTTCTCCTCTGATGGTTCATCACACCTTTTTTAGAGGCAGCATCCACACTTCAGGCTGCGCGGTCCGGCCACAGCTGGCGGACTACGGAAATGATGGTGGGAAGAGGTACAAAACACAATCCCACTCAGAAGCGTCTTGTAGTTATGGCAGGCTTCGGTTTTGTCGAAACAGGAGCAGGAACATTGGGGGCTGCTTTGTGATGAGCGCTGTGCATTGGCGTGTGCTGCTATTGCGTCACTGCCTAGAGGGGGGCAGAGACTGTATTTTTAGAAGGGAATGAGCATATTCTCTGAACAAACAACGTCAAGCACTCTGCTTGCGTATGCTTGGATTATTGTGACCGGGCTATTTTTAAGCTCTGTGTGTGAGAGTGCTTTTTTTCTGGGTCAAGCATGGTGCCAGTACTCTCTCGAGGCTGCTGGTGGATCATGCATTACAGGTCTTATGCTGTGCACAGCATCTGCATCAGTCACAGAGGAAAGAGTCAGAGAGACACAGGTTTAAATCACCAGGAGTGTTTTTTGTGTCTAGAATACAGCTGTGGTGGAAACATAGGGATTATATTTGTGGAGCAGACAGATGTTCTTAGTATCAGGTAATTCAGGAGGCTTTATTAATCTCTAGTAAGGAGAATACTTTGCAAAAATACATCTTTGTGTGTACATGTGTTGCGTTTTATTTTTATAAAGTTTGCATATCCAGAGATTTGGGTGTGTCTGTCTTTGGTTCTTGCTTCCATGAGTTGCGAAAACTGCACCCGCAGAGGGAAAGAGAGAGGCTGGAAAAACGGTGTGCCACAAGATTTCCATGTTTTGCTGAAAGCATTGCTGAAGCTAAATGTGATAAATGGTTTATTTCAACTGCAACAACAGACTGTTGAGAGGTGAAAGTTGCAACTAAAATTGAAGTCACAATCTGTGCCTGACAAATCTGTTGACAAGTCTGTGGACATGAATATGTCCCTCATTTGCCAAGTCAGTATATAAATACATACATGGACTAAAACATTATCCTGGTATTTTGGTGGTTGAAGCCAGATATGAGTGTGTACTTTAAACATTTTGCTTGCCAAAAATGCAACCAAAGTGAACTTATTATTATTGTTGGCCGCCTCATTGGTGTTATTTTTTACAAAAGAGTTGTTGTCTGAAAAAAATGTAAAGCAAAAATTCTGTTACGTTTGACAAAAATCTTCATACAGCCAGTCCGAATAGTGTTGCTGAAACAGTAATTCAATCTATTTTAGGTCATTTCTGAACAAAAAGAATTAGTCGCGGCTCTAACCAATAGCAAAACTGTCATAATCCTGCTTGGCATTTGGTGGCATAACTCACATGCATGAGTATCACTACAAATCCCTGTGCAGCAACATGACCTCAGGCCGGACAGAGCGAGCCTGTGAACTGTACGGTGTCCCTCTGTTAAGCTGCTTGTTGCTTTTCCTGCTTTTCTGTGTGTTTGCGATGCCCTCCCTCTCCTGCACTTCCTTGTGCGTGCATTGGCCACTGGTGGCTGGACTTTGATTTACACAATGCCCATTCTCAGGCAGATAATCAGACAGTAAAAGAATCTGTCTTATCATGTCACACTGAGTGATTTCCTGATCGGTACAACTGTCACATCCACAGTCTCTGGCCAAGACGAAATTCCCAGAAACACTCAGACGTTTGTTGCGGCATCAGCTGCAACCCGCTTTCATACTGTTGCCACATTGTTGAACCATGCTTCAAGTAAACAGTGAAGCTGTTCATCAACACTGTCAACACGTATAAATACTGTGACTTTCCCCCTCTAAAGCTTGGCTCTAACATCTAGAGGCTTCTCGTGCTCCTGAGCCGCAGGCTTTTCTCCGGGCCTCTCCAGCTAGCCTAGTTTTATCCTAGCCTCTCCCAAGAGTGTAGTTATTTTCAGCAAAACGTGGCGTTCTGCTCTGATTTTGTCAATGCATTGTTCTCCAGTGTAAAGCAAAGACATTACATTAAAAAAACGTATGGAACACAATGGTACTTGTCGTTTTTTTTCACCAGAACACCTCCCTATCTGTTAGTAAGCAGCTGCTCCGGGTTGGGAAGCTGCAGCTTTGTCCTGGCAGTGCGTCAGAGCGCTTATTAGACCAAAGCATCCTCAGCGAGGAGTTGCAGGAAGAAGCGCCCAATAGGTGGAGGACCAGGACCATTGGTTACACCAGGAGACTCATCAAAGCTGCTCTTTGTTTGCTGGATAAGTGACGCAGCAGGAATAATAGTGTGATTAGAGAGACTGGGCCGGGTTCCAGAGCCAGGTCTAGTTTGCTGCCGTAGGTCAGAAATGAGTGAATATTGGGGTTATGCAATGCTGTGTAGTCACATTTGGATGGGCCGAATGGAGGCAGTGCCAGGATGGTGTTGTTGTCTTCCCTCACACGTACTGTACAGTAATGTGCAGTACAGTCTCCTCAACACTGTGACTAAGATGCTGTCCATGTTGTTTTCAGCAGAACACAGAATGTACAATCCCTTCATTAACCCGACTCTTTGTTTAAATCTTTGTTTTTGAATTATTAACTGGTTTGGAGCTATTTATCAAAACAATCTGCTAATCCAATTTGGAGAATATAAGAGAATCACCTGGGATTCAGCTTGTAACAATGTTAATTGATTCCCATTCATGAACTGGAGGAACCAGGTTTTCTTTTAAATAATGTGCATCGTTGCACGTGCCATCAGTCATTTTGACAGAAGCATTCTTTCAACTAGCTGATATCTTTTCTTCCTTATTGACTCCTCTTCAGTTAATGTGCCGCCTTTGCTGACACCTGCGATATTTAATTTAGATAAACTCCTACAACAGTGTGCCACAGTCATGATCTTGTTTTGCACTTGCCTAGCTTTGGAGAGCTGTTCTTGCCTTAGCGGTCAAAGCAGACTCCTGCAACTCACGCCACCCACACGTTGCGTATGTATAGCCCACACCTACCCCTATCTGCCCAGTGGTTGGAAAACAATGCTTTGTGTATTTCCAAGGCTGCTATTTGTGAAACCTCGATCATGCACGGGGGGCTCTTACAACGTTATGTAATGCTCCCCACTCAACTGTAATCCCTCTTACGCTGAGTGAGCCCCCATGTGACGGCGCTGGAGGGTTGGGAGAGACAGGGTGGCTGTTGGGACCGTCTGCAAGGCACGGGTGCTCTCCGTAGACTCCGGCCAACCCCCCTGCACGCGCGCAATGAGCAGTGGCCTGTGTATAAGAAGGGAAATTAATCCTGGGAAGTGCCTTACTTGGATGTGCGATGCTGGACGTGGAGACGCGACGCTGATGCTTGTCCTCGGTGTCAAGGCTCGGAGCAGATATACACTAACTACACCGAGCATATGTCCTGAATGACACTCCGGCTCGTCTCTCCTCTTCATCTGCGTGTGAGCCACGAGAATGAATCTTTGTCCTCGATTATGCATAAAGGAACTTCGCAGCTTCAGAAATTACTCTGTGTTGACATTTTGCTTCCGATGAATGATTTTTGCTGCCGCTTTCTGTTGCTTTTGAGTGATGGATGTTGACGGAGACGTGTTTTGAAGCAGCACTGGGTGTTTTCAGACGTCCGTCATCAACTTTACCAGCATGTTTTGACTGTAACAAACACTACTGATCGGTTGTTTGTGTTTATTTTTAAATATGTTCACAGCTCGCATACCTCATGGTTTTTGTATTTGCTTCTCCCCCCCTACAGGAACCATCAATGTGGACTTCAGCTGGCGATTTGACAAGTCACATATAGGAGCACCCGGAGTCTCTCCTTTCCCCTCTCCCCCTCCCTTCCCTCCGTCCCTCCTTCCCCTGTTCCCTTATCAATCTTCTCCCTGATCCCCCTTTTCCCCCTTCTCCAAAATTCACCATGCTTATCAAGGAGTACCGCATCCCCATGCCCATGAGTGTGGATGAGTACCGCATCGCCCAGCTCTATATGATTCAGGTGAGGTAACAACGCCTCGGTCCTTGCCAAATTCTCAACAGCACACACCTGTCCATTTTGATGCAGAAACCAGCAGGCCAAAAAAACAAGCAGTCGGAGAAGATAAATTAACACAGAAAATTTCTTGAGAGTGCAGTTGCAGCGTACCCAATTATGAAATGATTGGTCACATGGTGTGTGACGCTGGTAATGGAACAAAGAGCGCTTGTGTGCTGATAGATTATCCAACCTAAACTCTCTGAGGCCGGCTGCATGTTTCTTCAGGAGGGTCGCGCTGCTCTTACTGGAAACTCGGAGCGCACAAACCCCTGCGATGGAGATGGACATTTGCTTTGTATCTGTCAGATAGTTTCATTTGTCAAACCAGGCCCTTGGCTTCAGATGAAGGCTTCTGTGTTAGAGCTTTAGGGTTTTACAGCTGCAAGCAGGAGAGGTCCATTCGTACAGCTTTAGTTATCCTGTGTGGCAACATATTTTCTCTTCATATGGCATGTGTACATGGAGGAGGATTTATTTAATCCAGTGGTACTGCCAGGTGCGATGTGAGCAGCAGTGCAGAGGAGAGGTATGAGTCAGGCTGTGGCAAAAATTCTGCTGTTTAGTTACAATTGTTTGGATATATTGAACACATTTAGGTGTATTTTTCTGTTTAATGCTGATCCTGACTCTAACCATTCTGCAGTTTGTTGGGATTTGAGCTGCATGGTTATGTAATGTGCATTATAAGTGGCAGCGTGTTGAAGAGCAGGTTGAAGTTACACGCCCGTTTGATCGGGTTTGTTTTTTTCTTTACTTTTTTTTATTAGCTGGGCTCATTGCATCTTGTTTCTTTAGTGATCTTATATTGTGGTGTTCATGTAAACAAGATTCATGTTTATCAGGGACTGCGTACAACCAGAAGTGCACAAGATATTCATAGTTGATGCATCGAGTGAAATCAGCAGCTAAATATGGTAAAAATATGTTGAGTTGGAGTTAGATACACATACATGGGAGCTGCACAGTTTACTTGCATCCCTCAAAGGAAAACAGCTCCCCTGTATAAGTTAAACATTTAGGGCTTGTATGAGGAATCCTCAGCATTCCCTCAAGCTTTTGACCTCACCATCGAGAGGCCTCTCCTACAGTTGTTAATCTTACACCCAAATTAATGAGTGTTTACGTTGACAAAGTTGTCTAAAATTCACATCCACCCACTTGTATAACAAAACGACAACACCAGCTACAGATTTATGCAGCCGTAATGCCTCAGAGGGCCTCTCCTTTTTTTTCTCTATGTACTATAAAAACAATTTGTCTCAAAGCGTTTCTGTCAGTGTCTGAATGCTACACTGAAATATTAGTCGTAGTAACAATGCATCACTGCAAATGTAACCCCTGTCGGCAAGAACTTGAGATTTTCTTGGATGATTACGAGCCCAGAAAGCGTATATTAGTCTCTAAAAATAATATTTTTCAGTTGGCAAACTTGTTTGCTGTTCTGTTGTTTTTCTTCATGTCCTCTCCATAGTGTACCAAACGGACAGGTAATCCAGTTGAGCTGTGGATGGTTGGTAGCATGACTCAGCAGACATGCCCCAAAGCAGGCGTTTTAAGACAGCACAAACCAGTCGCTGCACCACACTCGATCATTTCCTTGGCAGTTTTGTTTTATTGGGCCGGGTATTCTGGGGAGTTATTAATCCTGTGAAACACATAACTACATTTTTGTTCTGACTTGCTTCGCTCCCAGATAGGTTTCTTCAGACGCGTTTCTTCAAGACAAAGACGGTACACGCGCGCAAGCAGGCTTACACGAAGCTTTAGTCTATGCTAAAAGCCCCTGATATGTGCATTCTGGAGCATTTAAACAAATCACGTGACGAGGAATTCTTTCATTAGTGACCCATAGTTACCTTTCCCCTGACCCCACCATCTCTACACAGCCTCGTTGCTGTAAGGCTTCCGTCACTATGGCAACCATGACATCAGTGGTCAGGTTTTGTTCACGAGAGGGAGTGAATGAAAAGAGGAAATGGAGGATAAAAAGAGAGGCTGTGTACGGAGGGACGGGAAGAAATGAGAGAGGGGGTGGAAGGAAAGAGTGTGTGGCTACCCTCGCTTCATTGCTGTATGTTACCAGGGCAACTGCTGCATGTAGGCCTGCCTGCCTGCCTGCCTGCCTGCGATCCATCCCCGGTGTAAGCCTTATAGACGAAGCCAGGGCCTTAGGACAGCCTGGCTATATCTTCACCTCAACAGGCAGTGCCCCACCCCATGTCTCCTCTCACTTCCTTTTCTTTGCCCTCACGCTGCCTTCTTATTTGATAGCTAATTGTAAATTCCTTATCAGTGTAGAGGGATTTACGAGGAAACCGAAGAACGTCGGGAGAAATTGAATACGAGAGGTTCTCATTCATTCGCATCATGTCTCGACTAAGCTGCTGTATCTGCGGCGTTAAGTGAAAAGCAGCATCTCAAACAGGAAACATGCCTCACTAACTTGATGGCAAGAGGAAAAAACCAGGATGTGACTCTCATCCTGTCAGAGCAGTCAGATCTAAATGCATACAGTAGGCTTTCATGATTATAGCTTTAATTTTGTAACCGTTTGATGGCTGTTTGAAGAAAGGTTGGCGCGAGAGAGAAAAAGACAGAGAGAGAGAAGGAGAGAGAGAGAGCTATGTGGCAAAGGTTTTATACCAGAAATTAAGCTCAAAGCACAACAGGTACTTTGTTTTCTCTACTGAGCCAGAAAGTATTTAATACTAAAACAGACGAGAGCCTCCTTCCACCTCTGTCAAGGCAGTTGTTAGATATCCAAAAATACCTCCTCCTGTAAACTATTTTGTCATTTCTGTTCCCCCACAGGTACAGTTTGTCCCTGCATACAAAATGGACAAAGTGTGCTGAATTCATTAAGATCCAACATGACATTCAGTGTTCATTTAACTTTAAACATGGTATCTGCTCCCTCAGTCCCCCCCTGAGGGAACAGCTAAGCCCTGGCCAGTGTTTTGTAATCTTTTTCCTGGTGAACTGGAGAGAATCACCCTTCGCTCCAGGGGGGGAGAAAAAGAAGAAGAAGTGTCGAGGCTCTGCACTTGACAGGCTGCAGTCACATGTCAGGAACCTAATTAAAGGGATGATCCGCTGCAAAACACAACTTTTTTTTTTTCTTTTTCCTTAAGTGCTGACATGATGTCAAGATATTTCTGTCCAACATTTGGAGCTGTCAGCTGTAGACAAAAGAGAAAAATAATTACATTCTGAAAACTCAGCAAGTCTTCTTACATAATGATGATAAAAACGCACTTATTCTGCTGTGACCTTATTTGGATCAGTCTAATCGAATTCTAAGTTGGAAGCTTGTTTCCATTTCAGACTTTATGAAATTGTGTACACACGTTTTTGTTTGTGTGTGCGTATTTCTGTAGCTGCATACATTTTTCTAGTGTTTCTACGCATATGGTACGCTGTAAACTTGACATTTACTTCAACTGCAGCATGATTCATTGTTGAGTTCCTGTCTCATGTACCGGCTGCGTGTACGTTGGGTTTGACAGCGCTGTGGCGTCTGTGCTGTGTCTTTGGAGCTGTGTCTGGGCTGTTGAGAGCAGGACGAGTGGCTAATGAATGACCTGTCAGAGGTAATGAGTTCCGGAGTGCTGGATGCTTCATGGCTTCCTCCTCCCTGTTGTACCGATTCACTGGCTGGCCTGCATCACATCTTCCCACTGGACTGACTGGAGAAATCTGTCCCCCTATTACCTTGTTGCTGCACTAAATAATGCGTTGAACAAACAGGAGAAAGACTTGACAACTGCTGATAAGACAAAGAGAATAGATGATACATTAGGAACCTCTGACATTTACGGCCCTTGTACCTTGCTCCCTGTTTTCAGTATCATCAGCACTTGGACTATGCTCTCCTGTTGGGATTTTCTTGTTTCGCTGATTTCATAACATTTACAAATTTACCTTTTGCCATGCCCTACATGTCTGTCTTTGAAAGTTTGAGTCAGCTAGCCGTAACTCTACGCAACTGCATCAGCAGGCTCCACCCAGCCTCTTCCTTTCTGCACCTGGAATGTAAATATGGGAAAGGTGTGGCTCCACGAGCGGGTTTTTGGGCTTCCTGATTTGCAATTCAGAACTGGCAGAGCTTTCAGGAAGCTATTAATATTGGTGTGTCCTGTCTTGTGTCATCAGTCTGCTCACCGTAACAACTGACTGTGTCTGCAAAAGGCGCCACATCCATTCATTTGTTTGTTTCAGTTTCTACACTGCTATAATGCAAACACTGTGTCATCTCACTGTAGCTTCCTTTTGCTGTTTTTCCTACAGAAAAAGAGCAGAGAAGAGAGCTGTGGTGAAGGTAGTGGGGTGGAGATCTTAGAGAATAAACCCTACACGGATGGACCGGGTGGAACGGGCCAGTACACCCACAAGGTCTACCACATTGGCATGCACATTCCCAGCTGGTTCCGCTCCATCTTGCCCAAAGCAGCGCTTAGGGTTGAAGAGGAGTCCTGGAATGCCTACCCTTACACCCGCACCAGGTGAGGTTTGCTCCCGTAAGAAGGGCTTTTAGAACAGAAGTTTACCTGCCAAGGCTGCAGAAAGTTATTATGTCAGTATTATAAAGCCTGTGTGCACGTGTGCCTGACTGCTGCAGCTGGTGGATGTAAACACATTCAACCCCAACTTGTGTGAAAGATAATAATTCAAACTCCCTCTGTGTAATACATAAGTGCCATGAATAGTTATTTTGATAGTGCCAAGTCTGAAGTCCAGCTGTCTCTCAATAAAAGCCAGGAGAGAATAAAAACCTCAGAGCAAGTTGTCAGAATATTACCTCGCAGACTATCAGATTGGCATGTGGCCAGCAGCGCTCCCGGGCTGCTAGACGTTGATGGCCCCTCATTCTCAGGGTGTCAGTCTGTTTGTCCGTGTGGGGCCTGACAAACACAGCGACGTGAAGGTGCTGAAAAGAGATGTGCCCTTGACTGTACTGTCAAGATATTGATAGACTCCAAGTGCCTGTTGACACATCTATTCAACCAGTGACAGTTTTGCTGCAGATGCCTCAGATGCAACAGATGGGCATGGCTCTCATGTCTTCTACCCTTAGCAGTGACAGTATGTTGTCACTTTTAATACAGTATTTCTGATCTTGAGCCTTTTTAGTAAGAAAATAAGTCCCCGAATGAAGGCATCGACCCATAATTCACTCTTGCTTGCTGGGACTCTTGATCTGTTTTTTTGATTTTGTTACGTGTTCTCCTTCAGATACACCTGTCCTTTTGTGGAGAAGTTCTCCATCGACATTGAGACCTACTACAAACCTGACACTGGCAATCAGGCTGAAGTCTTCAACATGTCTGCAGCAGAGAAGAGACAGAGGAGTATTGGTGAGACCGTAGATCTCAGTTCTGAAGTTTTATGACAACAAAAACTCGTATTAAAATACTGAATATTGAGTTTTTGGTCACAACTTTTAAAGTCCACTGCACTGCAAGTTCATTACACCTGCCTCCATCTAGATATATTAGAGAATCAATACAGCAAGTAGTGATCTTTTCATGCATTAGTTATTTAAGGTGTCAGGTTCTTGTTAGTCGGTTTCGTCTGATGGTGTTTTGATATCTGTCCTCTTGTTACTCAATCATAAGCAGTGGATGAGGCCCACTTGTGGCAGTTAAATGGTACAGCATCTGTTTTTTTTCTGTGGTTGAGCGCATGTTTGCCTATTGAAAACAAAAACGAATGCTCGTAGGCCGTGCATAACCCAGTTAAACAGGGTTTGTAATGATTTTATTATTTTTATTTATCAGTCTTCCTTGTGCATCTGATGAGTTTTGTCAGACCGAAATTCAGTTACAAAAGGAATTTCAAGCTGTTAAACACAAGCCCATACATGTTGCACCACCCCACCCATTTAACTACACATCATGACATGATACCCAAACAGCAGTGACATGGTTCATGCAACACATTCCAAACACCTGGCCCTCTCAATGTAATTTGTCTTTGGCAGACCCAATCGACATAGTGACAGATCCCATCCCCCCTCATGAGTACAAAGCAGAGGAAGATCCAAGGCTTTACAAGTCAGCGAAGACCCAGAGAGGTCCCCTGAGGGACGATTGGATAGAAGAGTACAACAATAACCCAGGGAAGACCCCCATCATGTGTGCCTACAAACTCTGCAAGGTGGAGTTTCGTTACTGGGGCATGCAGTCTAAGATTGAACGCTTCATTCATGATGTTGGTGAGTAAACACATGTGGATGTTTAAGTCTTTCGTGTAATGTTGTAGTTTGTCACTTATACTAAGAGCATATTTTGAGAGGAGCATTATTCAGAATTTGATTTTAGAATTTTAAATTGAATACAATTCACTAGGTCTGAGGAAGGTGATGGTGCGTGCCCACCGGCAGGCCTGGTGCTGGCAGGATGAATGGTATGGTCTGACCATAGAGGACATCAGGCAGCTGGAGCTGGAAACCCAACTGGCCCTGGCCAGGAAGATGGCCCAGTTTAGTCAGGCGGAGGAGGCCACCGAGGCCAACGGAGGGGCTCCGTCTCCAGACAAAGACCAGGAGGTTAAAGAGGCAATCAGCTCCATTGAAGCTGAGGAAGTGGTTGCCAGCACAGGAGGAGACACTCTCCAGCCACGAGGCGTACTCACCAAGCAGTGGTCCACCTCCTCCCGATCCTCCCGCTCATCCAAGAGAGGAGGTGAGGAGCCCGGCGTCGTCACCCTTTCACCAGTGCAGCCTCTGTGTATGACAGTGTGTGAAACTGGTGTCAGAGGAACCTACATCCATTGTGTGTTGTTCTCCACTATACATTTTTCAGCTTCTTTTCCTGGAGCTGTGCACCTGCATACTCTTTCCTTCACACATTATCATGTCTATATTTACACTTCATCCTGCCTTGGAGCCGTATTTGTTCACACTAATGTATACTCACATCAAACTCAAACTGCCTCGTAGGTAAACACAACCAGTTGTGATATTTGAAACCTGTCCACACTTGGAGCTTGAATGTGAAGAATTCATTGGGGTCAAGCTTCAAGCTGGTGCCAAACTCATTTAGCAATTTACCTTTTCATTTGTGTACATTTTTTTTTTCTTTGGTGTTATTTGTTTGTTGTACATCCTTAACTATAAAGCCTCAAAATAAGTCTTTTGACTATAAAATTCTTGCACCTCCCCGTAAAGCTGAAAGTTATCTGTTAAAGTTTGCTTGTACGTAAAGAACTGAAGCTGTAGTTAAATTTGTAGCTGCACAGGACGTAGACTAATGACATTTATGTGGTTCAGCTGTTCACAGGTGTACACACTGAGAGTCGCCCCCAAGCTGAATTAATCAGAGTCTCCCGAAGACCTCTGAGTTCAAATTGTTGAATTGGTGTTAATAAAGTCAAACACACCAGGAGCAGCTTCTTAGTATGCAGCCTCTGCTTTTGTGCCACGCTTTGCTGTTCTGTCCGACGCCTGGTGTTAATTGGAGTGTTTTGACTCTGCATAACGATATTTGCTCACACCTCCACATTCGCTGTACTGTCCGGCTTCTGTCCTCCCACCCCTTCCCACCTGGGTTATTTTTAGCAGCAACTTTGACATCACAGACCACATGTCCACACACACCCATCTCGAGTGTCGCCCCTTTCGCCAAGGTAGTGCTCATTGTAGCTGCCACTTAGACCCTGACTCTCATCCAGCATGCCTTGTCTCACCCCGGTAACTCCCCCCCTGTGGTTTTCTCCTGGGCTATTTTTAGCAGCAGTGCTGACATCACAGACCAGAGGAGGCTGACGCTCCTCACACTGACCCTCCCCTCCACCGCTGCTGTTTCCTTCTGTGCGCTGACAGCTACAGCTGTGCCCCTCTCTCACTGCTCCCCACCCCACCTTCTCCTCTGCACTAATGATATACGAGGAATAAATTCAAGACATGTGACAGACGAGGCCTGCTTTTAATATTTCCATTTTCCTCAGCTGTCATTTGTTTTTTGTATGCTTTTTTTGGTGCGCTTGTTGCTTGTCAGTGTTACATTGGGCCTCACTTTTCACGCACCACCCCTGACCACCAAGCAGCCCATCTGTGATGAAGTAATTGCACCACAGAGACTGTTGCATGTTTATATAACACTGTGTGTGTGTGAGGTGGGGGGGTTGTGCAGCATTTCTTTGTTATAGCGAGTGTGTGTGTTAGAAAGGAAAAGAGAGAGGCCAAAACACATGTCCCAAAATAACAGTGAATTTTTTTTTGTGTCTTTGCTCATGTTTGGTTTTTCAGTGAGCCCGTCACGTCACAGCATCTCAGAGTGGAGGATGCAGAGCATAGCGCGAGACTCGGACGACAGCTCGGACGAGGAGTTCTTCGACGCTCATGGTAACCACTGCTTTGATTTTCAATTGAAGGTGTATTTATTGTGCTCAGTTTTCCAAGAACCTGCTTGCTCCGCTTTCTTCAACTACTCTGCATGCATCTCTTTAACCACAGATCAGTTCTTAAGCTTCCCAGATACCCAGCATGCTTTGGGGCTGCAGTTGAAATAGGTGGGTGTGGTGCAACACCCGTACTCCCTGCTGGATGAGTTTGGCTGAGGACACGAGCCAGGTGTCTCATCCTGACGTCAAGTTCAGAATCACAATCGTCTCTGCCCACCAGTCCCTCACTCACCGACACACTCCGGTTCCTGAATCATCATTTAAACCCCCCCGCACACAAGCACAATCCCTCACAGCTCATGATACATCCCAGCAATAAACGACCCCCGTCAAATAACTCAGCAGTGTTTGTTTGTGTGGTGGAATTGTAACTTACTGTTTAGTCATGATGATGAGACGAGAATAAAATTGTGCATTTTACTGCCATTTCTTATGTTAATGCTAATTTTGCTGCAGTCATTAGTTTCTACGTTTTCTAATTTGAATACGTTGCTGCTCATGACATTGTGAGTAAGTGGAATGCGGTAATAACAATGAATTGTGCTGACATCTGATAATTCATTATGTGCTGCAGTATTAATGTTTGTATGGATTAATTATTGTGTGCTGGGCGTCTGAAGTAAAAGCACATTAGGTTTTATCAAATGAGCTGATTAAAGTTACGGCTACACTGTCATAAATTAGAACTCCCTACCTCCTGTCTCCCTGAAGGTTAACACAGAGGTTACTGCTCCAACACCCGTTTCACTCAATTATGATTCTACAGAGACAACGTCATGAAATAAGCAGTTATTTAATCATGATAAATAAATGAAGTTGGTGTATCAAGATGAGTTTATACATACAAACATAAGTGTGTGTGTGCTTTGGTGCCTGGATGAATCACATGATGGAGAAACACAAATTAAATATGGAAACAGACTGACTTGGCTCAGATTGCCTCTGATATTAGATTTCTGTCTGTAAAGTTTGTTTGTGATCACGCTCCTCCTGCAGTAATCATCTATTATAAATACTTGAGAGACGCGCAAATTTATTTTTAACTGTCATCTGCCTCTGGCTTTTTTTGTGCAAATTAATAAAGAAGTTTTAAGACGGGAAAACTCACGATAAACACCACATTCAGCATGTCTGATCCAACCAGTGATGGTGCACTTGTCTTCTATAGCTTCACAGATATCTAGAACTACTCACAGCTTGCAAATGAAGCTGGAATAAAACCTCATTTATCAACCTAAAGCCAGGAGGTGAAATGGAAATGCTGCTTTCCCCTTTCACTTTGATTTTTACCTATTTAAAGACCGGATTGTTAGACATGTTTATTAAGAGACCAGAAAGATATGGAAGCAACTGAGGAAAATACTTAAAAGGCAGTTAGAGAGACACTTGACGAACTGTTTACAGAACACATAATCCCGTAGGAGCTCGAACAATTTAATGATATAAGACTTGAACTGGCTGCAACCTCCTGTTGGTATTCAAAGCACGTCATCCATTTGATTTCTAACATTGTTTGTTTGTAACTACTGTGGGAGTAAACTGAATTACACAATATTTATACGTTAAATTTATGTTGAAATATTCAGTTTGTTATCATAAACTAAAGTGAGCAGGAGGCAGCCATCTGTTTGTTAGACATGACAACACTGGCAATTAAAAAAAATTGCTCCAGGAGAGAAATTAGATAAAAAGAATCTGTTTAGGGGCCTGAACCTTCCTTTTTAAATTCCACATTACTGTCAGTGGATGGATAACCCAGTCCGTGCATATGTTTAGACGCATTTAATAGACACATGAATATTTAATGGTTTGGTAAATTGATTTGTGGGGAGTTTTTTATGGTTTAAACAAAAAAAAAAAACATCACTGTCCTCCAACAACTATCTGTAAGTTTAAATTGCAAAATAACGGATGCTTATCAGCAAAAGATACACTTAATGAAAATACAAGTCCTACTGTGGATTTAATGTCCAGGACAATGAGTGGTGCTTTACATCCACTAGTTATAAATAATCTGTCTACGGAGTGATTGGCAATACATTGTGGGAAAGCCGTGACGAGGTTCCCTTACATTTGTGTTGCCCTTTCTTTATATACCATTTTATACAAATACACATTTAAATGTAGGTGTAGTAAGACATTTATAAACCCTGGCTGGCAAAATACACTTCATCTGATCTCAACTTACCTCGTGTTTCCTCTGCAGAGGATCTCTCCGATGGCGAGGAGGTCTTCCCGAAGGAAATTGCTAAGTGGAACTCCAACGACCTCATGGACAAGATTGAAGCCGCAGACACGGAGGAGACTCCCGGTATGATGAAGACCACGGCCGGGCACTTCATCATCAACAGCTGCACTCCTGTGATACTTGATGTTAAGAGAGTGTGTGTGTGTGTGTGTGTGTATTCAGGTGAGCTGTTCAAGGAAATGACCGTGGATTATGAAAGGGCGACCAGCGAGGAAAGACTAGACGAGGTATGTGTGTCAAACATTGAGTGCGTGTACTAACCACAGTCCTAACCGGGTTCTTCTGATGCAGTTCCATGTCTGAAATGAATACTCCCTTGCAGAAAAAAATTCCCTTCAAGACCCAAAGCTTTTCTTGACTTTCTTTTCAGTTTATCTTTTACTGTGAGAAAATACTATACCAGGCTTTAACCTTTGGAGGATAAGAGACGGACTGTTTGTCCCTGAGCCTCTCTGTGCTCTTGTGTTCAGATACGTGACTCTCTTAGTGGCCAAGCTGATAGCTCTCCCATTCCCACCATCATGGTAACAAGGCACCAGTCAGTAAGTAAAACGTTTTGGCCCCAGTGTACTGTGGGCGGCAGTGGCTCCACAGAGACCTCCGATCCGTCCGGACAAACCCAGTACTTACTGCCCCCCTGCCCTTTTTCCTTGCCGTTGCCCAAACCCAAATCCATGTGTACTCCTCAACCTCACCACCGTGTGTTCAACCTCCGTGTACTTACAGCTGTGGCGTTGAGTGTACATCTAGTGCTTCTATGAAAATGTGAAGTTTTGGATCAGGCGCATAAGACAAAACTACACATTGTTCTGTGCTATTTAATGTGACATGTCCTCAGGAAGCATGGTTGTTGTTTGCTGTTAGTTGAACAGTTGTCCAGGTGGAGGTTGACTCTGTTCTGTATCCCTTCATGGTTCTCCGCCCCTCTATGGCTGTGAAAAGAAGGTCCATGTTTGAAGAGATGGACACAAATAGTCACAAATCATTCATGACAAATAAAAGTGCAAAGGCATTATTGTTTATGTGTGATTTTTTTTGTCACTCAGTAAGCATGCTGTCTTTGCTCATGCTAATCCAGTAAATAAACTATTCATTGAACATTCTCCAAGGGCTGTTATCCTCAGTGTTCCCGACCGTCACCACTTTTATTTATTTTTTTTTAATGTGCTGTTCCCAGGAGAGCTCATCCCAACAGTGTCTGCAGCCTTCCAAGATCCATGTGCTCATCTTGGTCCTGCATGGAGGGAACATCCTGGACACAGGCGGAGGAGACCAGAACAGCAAGCAGGCCGACGTCAACACGATTAGCACGGCTTTTGACACAGTCATGCGCGTTCACTACCCCGCTGCTCTGGGACGCATCGCCATCCGCTTGGTGCCCTGCCCTGCCATCTGTGCCGAGGCTTTCTCCCTAGTGTCCAAGTAAGAGGCCGCACATGCACAGATTTTTCTGCAGGCTCCAAGCATCCAGTATAATTACTGAAGGTTTATGTTTACTGGCTGTCACGGCTGTTTGATGATGATGGAAAAGGTCCAGGTGCAGCTCATGGCTGTTGTCTTCTCTTCCTGTGTTGATTCTCCTTGCGCTTTGAAACTATGTTTATGATTTTTTGTGTCCATTTTTTGTCTTTTTTGACAGCCTGAACCCTTATAGCTACGATGAGGGTTGTCTGTCCAGCAGCCAGGACCACATCCCACTGGCAGCTCTGCCCCTGCTGGCCACCTCAGCACCACAGTACCAGGAGGCTGTGGCCACCGTCATCGTCCGAGCCAACCAGGTGTATGCTGACTTTCTAAAGTCGCTGGATGGGGCTGCCTTCTCTGGACAGGTCAGGCAGATTTTTTGATAGTTTTTGCCACTTTAGAATGAGTAACAGTGTCACACATTTGAGGCAGGTGCATAATTTTATCTGAGTTGTAACCTTTTAGAGTAGTATAATAAAACTCTGAAAACATTGTCTCAGGTGATGGCATACACCTGTTTAACAATACATGTAATTATTTTTTTCTTATGTTCAACCTGTACCCTAAGGATCTACATCATAAATGTTGTTTCTTATCCTTGACTTCTTTAGGTATGCCTCATTGGAGATTGTGTGGGAGGAATCCTGGGGTTCGATGTTCTGTGCAGCAGCAATCAGACAGTAAATGAAAGCCAGAACAGCAGTCGCAGGGGCAGCGTCATCAGTGTGCAGGTAAGCGAGAAAACATGCAGTGTGGTGAATGCACAATAACCACAATAACCTCAATTATGCTGTAAGTTTTAAAAAAAAAAACATTTTCATGAATCGTCCCTACAGGACCAGGACTTGCTCTCTCCTGGCATCATTGTCAACAGCGGACACGGATCAGCATCTCCGACCTTGGAGGGCAGCCGCCACCTCAGTCGCAGCAACATCGACATCCCTCGTGCCAGCGCAGGTGACGACCCCAAGAGGCAACTGCCGCGTAAGAGAAGTGACTCCTCCACCTACGAGATGGACACAATAAAGCAACACCAGGCTTTCCTGTCCAGGTGTGTTGTGTGTGGATGACAAAAATCCTCACCTGGGAAATAAAAAAGAAATTTGTCCTTTTTTCTTGCACTGTCAGAATGTGATTTATTTTTAGGTCTACAACGGGTAAATGACTTTGTGCTGTCCTTCCAGCTTACACTCCAGCGTCCTACGGAACGACGCAACCTCTCGCAGGTCGAGCAGCAGCACTATGCTGGATGGAGGCTCCCTAGGGAAGTTTGACTTTGAGGTGTCAGACTTTTTCCTCTTCGGCTCTCCTCTGGGCTTGGTGCTGGCCCTCAGAAAGACTGTCATTCCTATGTTGGATGGTAAGCTACTTCGTACACAGGAATGCAGTGTTTCTCTTGTGGTGTAATCAGTGATAGCAAACATTGGTGACAGTGTGGAAAGTAATTAATCAGCTATCTTATCTGTAAAAGGGAAACACATGTGCCTTAGGTGGAAATGTACTTGTTAGTATAGTGGTTTATAGGCTGTATTTAAAAGATATATTACCACAATATGTATCTGGTTGATCTTAGCGATGCCTAAATGTTCGTGGGCTTCATGTGTTTTTCAGAGAAGATATATAAAGAAGCTGCTGTTGCATAACTAACTTCCATCCTTCAGGTTCTTCCCTTCTCCGTTCTCATTTCATCGGTTTGATTTCTCCCCCTAGTGGCCCAGCTGCGGCCTGCCTGTCAGCAGGTCTATAACCTGTTCCACCCGGCCGATCCCTCTGCCTCCCGCCTGGAGCCTCTACTGGAGAGGAAATTTCACCTCCTCCCTCCCTTCAACGTGCCCCGTTACCAGCGGTTTCCCCTGGGAGATGGAAACTCTGCCTTACTGGGTGAGCCCCTTTGCACTGTAATGTAATGTAATATCAGTAAATATTCAATTGTAGAGTTCATGTAAGTCTGATTAGGATTTACAAAAGCATACATAATGTATATTTCCCTGTAATATAATGGCTGTTCAATTTCTCCTTTTAATTTACGGTCCCATCAGCTGACCCTTCAGATACTGATTGTAACCCACTGTCCTTTTTCCCATGGATGCATGCCATAGATAACAGATGCTTTAAAGACGCCTCAGTAGCACACTACGAGTTCACTCGCTGAGTAAACACTGTCTCAAAGAAAAATGAAACATTTTTCTACCGTTTGTACTTCAACGTCTTTTGTGAAGCAGTTTATTCATCTAAATGTGGTCATAGTCCTGCTGGTGGTTTCTGTTTGGATTGTTCATTATAATGGAGTAACCCTTAGAGCCTCACCATGTTTACACAAACCTCTGTTTGTTATTCTCGTAGATAAAGGATGCAGAAATTAGTAAGATAGCTAATGAGCAGAGGATTTTTTTTCTAAGTTATATATCTTCCACTATTGGTTCAGAGACTAGGGCTTATTACGGAGGAATATGAGGGTTAATAAGCTGGGCAGGCATGTAGATATTTTTTAATTCCTTCAGTCCAGGGTTTTGATATTACCTTAAAGTGATCATCAGATGAGCTGTCACTGAATACCCTCGGGTCTTCCTTGTCTAATTACCCAACGCTTTCAGTCGTGATAAAGCATTTAAGATACATTCAAGTAGTCAATTGCCTGTTTCCAGCCTTAGAGCAGGGTGATGTGATGGTACACAACTGAAGAGTAGCTGTGGTCCAAAAGCAGTGGGCTCCACTAAGGGCTTGACTCGTTCTTGTCTCACGTTCAGTTGTTCTTGCTTCATATGTTTTTGTGTCTTCCTTGTCTTCTTTTCTTCCTCCTCTTTCGGCCTCCTGTCCCCATATCTGCATACCTCTAAAACCACCCCTGACTTCTGCCTCCTCTGCCCCTCCACCTCCCTCTGTAGTGGAGACAGTCCAGAGCAACGCTCAGCTGCTACTTGACAGCGGGCCTCCTCTGTCGCTTCGCTGTCAGGAGACCATCAGTGAGACGTGCATCCCTGTACCTGTGCTAAACTGGCAGGAGGGTTCCTTCAAAGCCACACCCGCCACTATGGAGTGTGTGTAGCCTCTCCCATTCACCTGCGTCTGTCCTGACCCTCATTAGCTGTGTTTCTTTTGTGTCTTCTTTGTCCGTCTGTCTTGTTGCTACGTCCGAGATGCTTGGATTTATTTTAACCTACTACATGTGCTCTCTGAGTATTTCCATTGCTGTTGTTTCAAGAGGCTTGTTTCTAGATCCAGAGACACTGATAGGCTAGTATCTAATCTTCTTTCTAAGTTGCTGCATATAAGAAATTTACATGAAGGATTTCTTTTCTGTGTTGAAATAGAAATTATGCCAACTTGTCACATTGTGCCATGGGAATACTTTGCAAAAATCTAATAAGCATCTGTTGTGGTTGTGGGTTTTCATGTTGCCATCACATATTCGTGTCATGTTCAGTGTTGTGAACATGCATCAATTTGTGTTTGTGCTGTGGTTTTAGTGTGTCTGCATCATCTCCATAATATCTTAATATTGATGTCGGCAGAGGGTATTTCTGCCGTCATCTAAATTTTGGAAAAAGGTTTTGTTGTGAACTTTGTGCTGCTTGTAATGTTGTGTTTGCACCGTGAACTTGAAGCTTTATCCATACATTCTAAATACACTGATCCTTGTGTTTCTCCTTGTGATAATGGTCAGATTTCATCTGATTTATAGAACCTGCAGCACTATTCTATTATGCCATAACAAAGGATTTTTACATATTATTACTTTGCTATTTGATTTAAAAAATAAAATAAAAAATCACCTCCATAAAAGGTGCTAGTCCATGGGTATGACTGTAACAGATGTGAACATTTGTGATTTTACATCCACTAAGTGTTTTATGTGTTCATATGCTGGTCATATGTCGGCCGGTTAAAGAAATCTGACTTTGGCCACCGTGTGACTGCGTTGTGGTTTCACGTGTCCTCTGAAACCACGGTGCCTGCCGTCACATTTCTCTCCTGCCGCCCTAACCCACATCTCCCCTCCCTTCCATCACTGTGAGTTCCCCTTTCCTGTGTCTCTGTCTAATGGGATCTCCTTGTTTGCGCTCAATAGCGGATGTTGTTCAGTCTCATGGTGGTGTCTTCATGGACAGTTCGTACCCCTCATCCCCCGTAACGGGCCCCCTCTCCCGGGGCCAGCGGAGGGCCAGTGAGGTCAGCATTGCCAGCCAGGTCTCAGGAATGGCAGACAGTTACACTGCCACCAACATAGCCAACAGTAAGTGTTCTCGATACCAACCAGTCGCTCTTCCTCTCTTCCCTCCATTCACACAAACACTGTTCTAGTTATTTCTCCCACTTTCTCTTGCTTTCAGACCAACTCTTCTCTATATTACCTGCCTAGTTTCTCTTTCCGACTCTCCTACATCACCTTCTCTCTCTCTCAACCCCCGTTACTCTGACTCTACACACATCCTGCACACCAGCTGAAGCGGCCGAGTCAGCCAGCTACACATGAGTATACGCAGGTCCTTTTTGCTACTTCTGCTATGTCAGACTTAACACCTGTAATGTAGGGAGACTCATGCAAGGTGTTTTATCCATCTCCTGTTCAAACTCAAGTGCTGATAAGATCAGAGTCCTGGAGAAGAGCAAGCTTAGCGCCACTTTCCACTGTCTGTCTGACTTTTACCCACTGTCTAAATGTAAATGCAATGAACGAGTGCTGCATTTATCTAATGTTGCAATGCATGTAGACACCTGCCTCCCACAGCCATTCCTGCATTGTCCACTCCCTACTGCAGTGTTTGCTGAGATGACCAGTACTGTTTCCTCTTTGTTTGATTGTCCTCCAAAGTCCCTCCTTCCCCTCACCTTTTCACTCTCGTTACCAGAACATGTATTTGTGACTCACCTTGCTCTTGATAACGCTGCTGTTTTACCACCTACAGTAAAACACTGGACATGCACGTTGACTAACCAAAATATATTTCTGCTCCTGCAACACCAGAACATCAGAAGATGTATTATCTCCACTGTTACTAACAATTATTTTTCAGCTTCACAGCTCTGTTTCAAGCAGCTTCATGACACTGGACTCATCCTAGCATCACTCTGCAAATTGTTTAAACTGTCATAAACTTGTCACATATGACTATGCATCCATTTTATTACATGGTTTCTTTCTCTTTGTTTTTTTTCCCCATAGCCAAATCATGCCAGGTTAACCAATCCAAAACGTTCAGTTTTTTGTCCCAACTCGCCCTATCGTCACAAAACAAATACTTCCTGAAAAGTCCTCCTAAGTCCCGTAAGAAAGTGAAGGCCTGCCAAGCCGCAGGATGTCCTGATGCAGATCTAGCGTCAGAGCTGGATGGTGACGCAGACTCTAGCGAAGGTCTGAGTCCCACTGGCCAGTACGAGAACTGCCTGTCGGCGGGGCTGGACTGTGCTATATCTGATCTGGTCTCACTGGACTCCCAGGCTGAAGTGGAGCAAGGTATTTTTCTACGGGAGGGGACTGCTGAAATCAACATGAGGCTACAGGTCTTTTCTGTCTGCTGTCCTATACTGTGTCGCAATCAAAAACTCAATGCTGCTCTTCCAGAAAGCCTCTTTTTTCCCCCCCCTTACCTTGAATTCTGTGTCAATTGAATTCACAAGGATTCAAGTGCAGGGACTTGCACTGATGAAGTGTAGTGCATAAATTTAGATCTTGCCCCTCTTTCTAAATCCATAACCTCTTTTCATGCCCACACTAACACGAATAACCATCTTCAGTTCCTCATATAATCACATATCAGTAACTATCTTTTCTTTTTGTTCTTCAATTCAGCGCTTGATTTCCCCCAATAATAACAATTACGAACGCCTTCTTTTCCCTCCTGTAGCTGAAGAACTGCGGGGATTGGTGATGATTGTGGTTGAAGACTGAAATCAACTTTTTTGCTTTAGCCTCAGGGGTGTTGCACCTTTGCGTGGCATCACATGACTCTTACAGTTTCGTCTTACGTCTCTGCTTCCTATTCATCCCATTCCCATCACAGTTGCAGCGCGTTGGTGGGGCACAAAGCGGCTGGACTTTGCCCTGTACTGCCCCGATGCTCTGACCGCTTTCCCCACAGTGGCTTTACCGCACCTCTTCCACGCATCATACTGGGAATCCACCGACGTCGTGTCTTTTCTCCTGAGGCAGGTGAGTAAACGTTTGAATGTGTGTCATTCTTTATAGCCTGTTAATATGTAACCTGCAGGCTTTTCTTAAGCGATACAGAGGGTGAATCAGTGAAATGCTCCTTTTAGGTCATGAGGCATGAAAACTCGAGTATTCTGGAGCTTGACGGGAAAGAAGTGTCTGAATTCACCCCCTCTAAACCTCGAGAAAAGTGGCTCCGCAAGAGGACTCATGTCAAGATCAGGGTGGGTATCAGAAGATGCTAATTACAGCTTTGGAGCTTTGTCTGCTGCACTGTACTAGAATTTACATCTAATAACAACATCTTGGGTTTAAATCTGGCCTTTGACTTTGTTTTTTCAAACACGCCGCTTCAGTAACACTGACACAAAAACAACACTTCACCATGTGTGTTTCTTTCTTTCCTTTGCAGAATGTGACCGCCAACCACCGGGTGAACGATGCCGTGTTCACTGAGGACAGCCAGCAGGTCGTGACAGGTCGCTTCATGTATGGCCCTCTGGACATGGTCACTTTGGCCGGGGAGAAGGTGAACACACACTTGTCATCACTTACAGTAGCCTGACGTTCGGTTAGCCTGTGTAATTTGCGTTTGTGCTCATTTTTGTATTCGTTTTTTCAATCCGCCGCAGGTTGACCTCCACATAATGACCCAGCCTCCATCAGGAGAATGGGTGTACTTCAACACAGAGGTGACCAACAGTAGCGGCCGAGTGTCTTTTGTCATCCAAGAGGACAAGCGTCTGGGCATCGGAGTCTACCCAATTAAAATGGTCGTCAGGTGAGAGTAGCTTGGTTCCTGTTTGATACCAAACTGTGTGTCTTAGTTTGGGTTTTGATTATTCAAGCCTTTTGTGCTTTCTTCTATAAGCCTTGTTTCTTCCCTTGATCTTTGCCAGCCTCTGTTTCCTCACTCTGTCCTTTTTGTTCTCCAGGGGCGACCACACGTTTGCAGACAGCTACCTGACAGTCATTCCACGTGGCACCGAGTTCGTGGTGTTCAGCATTGATGGTTCATTCGCTGCCAGCGTGTCAATCATGGGCAGTGATCCCAAAGTGCGGGCAGGAGCTGTGGACGTTGTCAGGTATCCTGCTGCTCTTCCTCTACTGTTTCCCTGGGTGTGGACAGTTTCCTTCAGATTGAAGTTCGTACGCATGTGTGCTATTTATATCTGGGTATATTCTGCTGCTTCTTCTCTTTGCAGGCACTGGCAGGATTTAGGATATTTGATCATCTACGTGACCGGACGTCCAGACATGCAGAAGCAGCGGGTAGTGGCCTGGTTGTCTCAGCACAACTTCCCTCATGGCATTGTCTCCTTCTGTGACGGCCTGGTGCACGACCCGCTCAGACACAAGGCGAACTTCCTCAAGTCCCTGACAGAGGTCAGACTGGGAGGAGGGGAGGACCTGGGGGGGGGGGAGTTTGTGTGTACTTTTAGAAATACTGCTGTCTGTGTATGTGTGGTCTCGATCTGTGTGCGATGAGTAACAAATGCGCAGCTACTATGTGAAAACTATTTACTCAATTATAATGAAAAATCCAGTGCTCAACAGTTCTCTTCCTTATTTGATCGATTCCAGGCTCACTTGAAGATTTTCGCTGGCTATGGATCAACCAAAGACATCTCAGTCTACACTTCCATTGGCCTCCCTCCTTCCCAAATATACATAGTCGGCCGACCCTCTAAGAAGATGCAGCACCAGTGTCAGGTATTTAATCATTTCATGCACAGCTTTGGGAAAACATGTTGTTTTTAATGTTGATAGTCCATCAATGCATTTCAGGAATGTCAAAGTAAATGCCCAAAGCATCATGAAATTTATTTAACTGTCTGAGCATTTGTTTTGCTCCTGTCACATTTTTACTCACTGTGGCCTCATTTTTCACTACAATATAAAGTCCTGCACCTTTATGGAAACAGCACAAGCATAGCTACAAGTAGAGAGAAAATTATCATCATAAATCATCATAAACAAAGAAGAAAAAATTAGTAGGATTTCTTTGTTTATTCTTTTTTTTTTCCCCTTAAATTTCCTTTTTTTTTTTTTTCCCCTTAAATTTCCAAGTGTCTACAGGTGTTACTAACACTAGGGGGATATAGTGACCCTACATTGTATAATATTGTACTGCTTACATTTCTGATTTGTTTCCATACTTCTCTCTTATCTGCTCTGTGTAAACAGTCTCCAGTTCAGGTCAGTTCAGCCAAAAAAATCCCAGAGTTTTTGTCACATAACTGTTGGCTGCAGCTGAGTCACTAATGGCATCGTGGTCGTGCTGAGAAGCGCAGATGGTTTTTTTTTTTTACAGAATTTAGTTTGTGGAAGCAAATTTTTAAATTAGATGTGTACAATTAACTAATTTTGATTAAATATGCCAGTTTTTATTTTAGCTCTGGTTGTTTTTCTCATCAAACCAAAAGTCACACATGATTAGTTCAAGGACTAGTGTAAAGTTAAATCTGATGGTTCTTCCTGTTCTTACAATTTCTTGTGATGATTAATGATGTAAAATTATAGGGTTTTCGAAGATAAATATGTGATACTGGTTTTTAAATACTGCAGCTCCTACAGCTAATTCATATTTCATTTAAAAGACTGACGCAGTGTGAATTAAATCAATTGGGAAGTAAAAATGTTGTATTTCTTTCTCGTTGACCGTTTTTTGTTCTCTGATCCTCTCAACAGTTCATCACAGAGGGCTATGCAGCTCATTTGTCCCAGCTGGAGTACAACCACCGATCTCGGCCAGCCAAGTCCAGCAGTGCGCGCATGGTGCTTCGCAAAGGCAGCTTCGGCCTGGGCGCAAACAGCGACTTCCTGAGGAAGAGGAACCACCTGTTGCGCACCATCTCCTCTCAGCCGGCCCCGAGCTCCCCGACAGGCAGCATCCACAACAGACCTGAGCGCACACAGAGCCAATCAGACAGCGAGCGTCTGGAGCGGGAGCGGCTGGAGCGAGCTCACAGCCACAGCCAGGGAGCGACGCAGCGCAGCATGAGCATCACGGCCAGCTGCTGGGGCCGCAGCAGCAGCACCAAGCTGGAACCAGGAGTTTTCAGCCCCAAGTGAGACGACAGGGACAATGGGAGAGAACCTTTGGGAGAGTGACTTACAGAGGAACAGACACATGACAGAAAAATAAAGAGTGAAAAAACAGTCGGCTCGCACCCAATTGGTAAATACCACAAGGAAAATCAGGTGCTACAAACCACTCTTTATAAAACTAACACCAGTCACACTCCACACAGATATTTATGGACAGAGCCTGTGGCTGTATTCATCATAAAACAGGCATTTCAAGAAGCATTGTCCTGAAAACGGGAGAATGCACACAAACACATTTAGCTGATATTGTAGGGATCCAGACTGTTTCTACTCTTTAGTAAATCTCTATCAGACTTGAATACAAGGTCAGTTTTAGTCCTCCAACAGGCTTTTAGATTGGAGACGGTTACACAGAAAAGCACCCGCTCGCTGTATTCTGCAGCAAACAACACAAAGCAGTTACAGGCGGCTTTGTGCTGCTCTGTAACTGACTAATGTGGCCAATGCAAGCACAACATTTGCTACGGAGACCAACTTTGTGAATAGTAGTTTTAAAGCTATGTCCTTTTTATGTGATAATCAGGGATGTTCTGGTCTGAGAGCGGAGCTGAGAATCAGGTGAAACTGGACTGAATGCGCCTCTGGTTTTTGGTGTAAATATAAAAACAAATATGACAAATCCAAACTTAATCTGCGTTTGATTTTTTTCATAACATATAGAACACTGTTCTACTAGAAACAATCTGATCAAAAGATGCTACTTTACAAGCAGCATAGACGACAAATTGTCAACCACACAGTCCAGGTTTGCTTGTTCTCCAGTCGGCCCTGAGACACAAAGAATCATCCAAAGGTCACATGAAGCAAACTGCGAAATTTCCCTTTAACTACGGTTGCAGCTGAAACTGTTCCTGGGCTTTTATAGCATTTCACCGCATCACACCATACTGTGCTGCTGAAGAAAGTAACGTACGACTCAGCTAAAGGGGAAAACTGCTACTGCTGTACGGTTAATGTGCCAAAGTAAACAGTATAGAATGATATGCTGTATGTGAACAGAGAGGGGGGGGGAATGGGGTCTCCTGTGTAAAAAATGGACTAGTTTGTGTAAGTATGTAGTTGAATGCCTTCACAAGGCTTGTACATAGTTGTTACATTACTGTGCAGATCTGGTATCTGGTCCACCGAAGACCAGTTTCAAGTGTCTTCTTTACTCTGGGGGTAAACACCAACTCATTCAGGATATACTTTATTGATTGATGATGATAATTATTGTTATTTAAAACTATAGAACTTTTAAAAAATGTATTGATTTTGTGAACAAAATGTGTTTTAAGATTACTTTAGCTATGTTGTGTTTTTTTTTTTGTTTGTTTTTTTTCCTTCAAACTTCAGTTGCAGCAGCCAAAACTCAGAGGTCTTTGCCTGGCACAGTATTGTATTTTTATTATTTTATCTTGCAGATCACCAGAGTTGTATCAACAGAACTGCTATCTTGTGTCATATATTGTACGTTTGTTATTAACTATTTTGGAAAATTTGGGATATGGCTTCTCTCTGGTTATCCCTACGCTGTAAATGAGGCGTTGAATGTGCTCATAGATAATCCTCCTTAGGTTAAGGTCTCTTTCTCTGTTCTGCTGCGCCTTTAGAGGAAGAAAATGTGCAAATTGTAAATTTTGTACAATATGCTGTGGAAAGTAGGAACACAGAGCTAAGACTTACTTTATGCTGTTGGCCATTTCTTTCTTAAAATGGGTAAGATTTTGTGATTTTATTCCTTCAAAAGCTGTTTATTTGTCCCTCTGATAGGCGTGTACAGAGCTGACTGCAATGGACCAATATGGGCTCAAATGTAAGGGGAAACGTGCAATATTAGTTAGCCGCACCACCAGATCAAACAGACTGTTGAGGAAGCGTCACAGTGCAATGACAATCAGTTGAACGGGCACATATTCCACAGACGTCAAACTGCAGAGGGTTTCTCCACATGTCTCGGCTCCACCCAAACGCACGGGTACACACTCTACAAAGGTTTCAAGTGCCACTGACCTGATAACGGTTTGGAATATTACAGTCAGATTTCCTCTGTAGAAAGATATCCTCAGTCTCGGTTTTCACACTGAAAACTCAGTTACCAGAGCATCCGGTACGCCCTGCTGAAATTAATTTAATTAAAAATACCCCTGCAATAAAACCTGATGAAGGATATAATGTTCAGTTTGTGTTGGAACTCTTTAGATAAACGTTGATTCAACTGAACGCTCATTCTGGAGTTTGTGGTGCTGTTGAGTTGTATTGTGTCATGCTGAGATGTGTTTCTGATATTTTGTCCACTGCACATTTCACTGAGGTTAGAAAAACATCCTCGTTCAGAGCAACTGTTACGTCTTAATCAGGGTAGTTTCTTGTCATCCTGGTGAAGGAGGGTGTAAATTAGAAACACTTTACTACTGTCCCTCTGCATTTTGACTGTCAAGATTCGGTTTGAACCCGTAGCTCCTCCGAGAGCTGCTGGGTGAAGAATGGCTGTTTGTACATTCATAGAAACGAGACAAAAAAAAAAAAAAAAAGACAGGCAATGCTGGAAAACAAGCACTCATGTTACACTGGCAACTACTGAACCATATCCCCTGATCTGAATTGGCTGGATATCGAAATCCAGAGAATGTAAAGATGAAGCGGTGCGGTGATCTGTGAAGTTTGGATACCTCTGGGCAGACAATCGCTTCGATTCTGCTACTGACACACACATTACCAGAGGCCTTACACTTCCTTTTTTTCTGCCTTACATTGACCATTGTGTTTGCAAGGCCTAGAATGAACGCTGCTCACACCCGAGCCGACTTCACGGAGAAGGATAGACTGTTGACTTTACTGTGGAAATAGGAAGAGGCCATATTTTCTTAAAAAAAATAATTAAAAAAAAAAAAGAAGCTTTGTTTACCTGTAAAGGACAAATGCAAAAGGATAAAATTTGTTTGACATATTTCACCAACATTAGGCAATCCATCGCCGTCCCAAGCTCTGCTCTCCGGGTTAATGCAATGTCACGACTGTTTCATCAACGGTTAGCATTTATAGGTTGTGTATATAAACCAGAAATTGGTGAATCATGCTTGGAAAATATTTTAATTGTACAGGGTGTGTATCTTGTAGGTTTTGGATAATGTCATTTTATCCATTCCCTTGTGTTTTTATGTACAGTGTATAAAGAATATATAAAGAACAACTAAGTAATTTTGGCCTTTTTTCACACTTATACCACAATTAGAGGAAGGAAAGTAGTTGGATGCACATCACAGAGAGAAGAGAAATGATTCACTGACAAAATGTTATCACCATTTGAATCTTCATCGATCAGCTTTTAAACAGTATCTCTTTGCAACGTTTTCTCTGAAACATCCATCCATTATCTATACACCTCTTAATCCTCACTAGGGTCGTGGGGGGCTGGACTCTATGCCAGCTGACTTAGGGTGAAGGCAGGGGACACCCTGGACAGGTCACCAGTCTATCACAGGGCTACACTTATAGAGACAGACAACCAAGCACACTCACATTCACACCTACAGACAATTTAGAATCACCAATTAACCTCAACGTGTTTTTGGACTGTGGAAGAACATGCAAACTCCATGCAGAAAGCTCCTGAGTGTCCTCACCGGGACCTTCTAGCTGCGAGGCAACAGTGCTAACCACCGAGCCACCTTGCAGCCTCTCTGAAACATATTGAACAGTTTTTTTTAAAGATGTTTATCCCATCTGGCAGCATACAGGCCTTCAGTCTATGAGGGTTAATGATGTATGAATATGGTTTTCATTGTTTAAAACCGTGGGATCATGTTTTTTTTTTTTTTTAGTCGATATAAAATTTTGCGATGTGAAGTAAGTGTGCAGGCGACTCCCCCTCTTCTCAGCTTAACTACACAACACTTTCTTGAATGACTGAAATCCAGGACACAAAATTTATTTTTCTGGCAGTAGTTCACACAAATTCACACTTATTCAGAGAAATGAAACAAAACATGAGACAACATCGATAAAGATACTGAACACTTAGATCAGCCTCTTACATTAGGCAGACATGATGCAAACAGTTGAATGTTTGAGTTCATGACTCATTAAAGTATCGCTGTTTAACTTTACACACTGATATGCTTTTTAAACAGGCAAAACAAACGTGCATAAATCAGTGTAAACATACACTTTGGCACGTCATGAGCTGCTGCATCAGCTGACTTAACATTTTAAACCCATAACTCATCTGTTTCTCTTCACGTCTCCTCGGAGAGACACATGTTCCGATCACTACTGCACAGTTCGATCACAGACAAATCTGCATTATGAAAAATGCATCTTGTTAAATATTCAGAGAAGGTTTCAGCTTCAGTCTGGGTGAACTCACTCTGAAGAAGATGGTTTCAGTTTAGCAAAGCTGCAGCCAGACTGTAAAAGTCTTCTACCTGTTGATTCCCAGTTTCCTCTGGAAGGCGTTGCCGTCTCCCTTGGTAGATTGCTGTGGGATTAAAGTGTGTTAACGAGGTGCCAAAAGTATGTCCATTACACCAAGTTACAGCCAAAACTTTCTCCTTTACCTTGTTGATCTCCTTGTGTTTCTCCCGGCTGACTATCTCCTCTATGATCTCTCCTTCTCCTCTCACCAGCCTGGAAGAGAAAAACAAAACAAAACATGAATCTCAACAGAGTGGACAAATTGCTTCTTTAAACCCACCTGTAATGTAAACTACAGTCGTACCTGGTCCGTCCTGTTTCAGGGTCCACCACCCTGCGGATCACGCTCTGCCTGGCCTCGTACTCCTCCTTGGTTAGAGGCCTCTTGGTGGAGAGTCGGGCCTTCTGCTCATCCGTCATGACTGCAGAGGGACGCAGGATATCAAATAGTTATTTGGAAATTCAGCTCCTGAGCCATCGTAGTTGTAACGGATACAGAAATGGGCTAAGTGTGAAAAATATGAGTTTAAGATTTTGCCATGCTTTTTATACTGAAGCAGTTTTTCTGTCTCTGCTGAAAATAAGTGCACAGGACAGCTTTATGGTCATTTTTGTAGAAAATAGTTTGACAAGTATTAAATCTGGTAAGTCCATGAAACCTGTCCCATCATGTATGGATATATTATAATATGTTGTCAAAATGCTTGTTGACGGGGAACCACTAGATTTGTTGGGTTGTCTAATTTTGTAGGGTCTTAACATTTAAGTTAGTCGGGTTAATTTACATGATTAATATTGCAGGGACCTATTCAGTCAGGTAAATTGGTATTTTATGTAATTCTGTGGAGTTTTAACCACAATATTTAAATTACTCAGTTAACATAATAAATAACACTGTAGGGCAGGGGTGTCGAACTGCGGTCCTCGAGGGCCGCAATCCTGCATGTTTTAGATGTTTCCCTCTTCCAACACACCTGATTCAAATGATCAGCTCATCATCAAGCTCTGCAGAAGCCTGATAACCATCCTGATCATTTGAATCAGGTGTGTTGGAAGAGGGAAACGTCTAAAACATGCAGGACTGCGGCCCTCGAGGACCGCAGTTCCGGACCGGATGTCGACACCCCTGCTGTAGGGTCTTCACTCTAATTTTAAAACTTGTTAGGTAAGTTAACAACACCCGTCTTATTTCTGTACAGAAAAGCACTTTGGCTCAATGGAAGGATCGTTTTAAATGCGGCGTATAAATAACGATGACTTCACCTGATATAAAATGTAATGTATCACAGACTTTTTTATCTGTTCAGGTGGGCGAAACACCAAACTGTACAAGTTAGGACTGCAGCTAATGCTTGTTTGGATTATCACGTAACTTTTCTGACTACATAATATTAGAAATATCAAATGCATCTTAATTTTCATGAATTGAAACTTCTTGTTTTGTCCAACCAGCAAAGTGTGCAAAACTCAAAGACATTCAAGATACGGTGACATAAAACACAGAGAAGCAGCAAATTGTCACATTTGAAAAGCAGGGAGCAAAAACAGCTGATTATTTTTGCCTAAAAAATAAATCAAGTATCAAAACGGACCGATTATTTAATCAGCTATTTGATGGTTTAACATCAGATTTAACATCAGAACTGTCATTCTAATTTTAAAAACACTCAGATTCTGATGCTTTAAAATCACTTCGATCACCATAAAATGCTTTATGTGTAAAATGTAACCATGCTATGTGAGGACCCACCAGGGCCGAGCTCCACGGCCCCCTCATCACTCTGCCACACCTCCAGGTAGGACGGAGGTTTTTCAGCCGGACCAGCAGGCAGCTGCGCCTCTGCCTTCTTCTTTTCCTTTTCCTTCTTCTTCAGCTTCTTCTTTTTCTCTTTTTTCTTCTGTTTCTTCAGCTTCGCCTTCTTCTTCTTCAGCTTCTTCTTCTTGGCTTTGCTTTTCTTCTTCTTTGTCTTCTCATCGCTCGACGAGGATGAAGATGACGAGGAGGAGGAAGAGCTGGATGATGAAGAAGAGGAGTGTCTTCTGCGCTTCTTTTGGTGTATTTTCTCATCTGAGGGGAAAACGGAGACGATGTTCAACAAACCTCTGAAAGACGAAGTTAGCTTCCAATTCAAAACCCCTAATTCAGCAGATAAGGGCAAAGTTAAGGGACACTTAACTGCTGAGCAACCTTTTCTCAGTTGTTTTACATTCTAAATCATCCATCTACGCACAGTGGTTTTAAATCTGGACCTGGTTTAATGTGGTCCAGATCCCTAAAAAAAAAGCAGTAATATCCCAGTTTTATGCGTTTTCAATTTTGAAACAAAGGTTTTACAAGTTAGAGGCTGTGTTTTAAAGAATCATTGGCCTCTCTGGAATAATCTAGTCAATATAGATTTGACCAGTGGTTGCTGATCTGGACCTGGTTTGTAGTGGTTTGTATGCAAAAAAAACAAAAAACAAAAACAAAAAAAGCATTGAAATCTGCCTTTTTTTTGTATTTTCACAAATAGAGTAAATGTTTTACACCCTAAAACTATAATCTAGTCCAGAGTTATCCAGTGTATATATAGTGGGTTTTGATTTGGACCAGTTCTGAGGACTCTTCAGCCTCCCGAGCCATTCTAGTCCAGATCTGACCAGTCTATGTATAGTAGTTTAAGATTTGGGCTGATAAGGTCTGCATATATGTAAATAAAACAACAACAGTGAAATCGCTTTGCAATACAAGTTTAACCAATAAGAGATTGTAGTTGGCCATGTTCTGCTCCATTCTCTGGATCACAGTCAGGAAGCAAAGAGTCTTTTGCCTCTCTGGGACAATCTAGGCCAGCAGTCTATAAATAGTGGGTTTTGATCTAAATCTGGTCTAATGTGGTCAAACGCTAAAATAAGCTATAAAATCTCCCTTTTTTGCAGCATTTCACATGTTTGAAATGTTTCTGGCAGCATTAAGGGTTTATCTAAACTGTCTAACACGACTTTACTCATTAAAATGCTGAAAAACAGAATAAATCGTTCAGTGCTGAAGGTTGAGTTTCCCTTAACTTCTCCCTTAACTCTTCAACCAGAAGCTCACTTCAGTGTCGTCCTCTCAGGAGACGAGACTTTGTTCTCCGTCAAAATGCTCCTTGTTTTATTTCAAACTTAGAAAGAAAAGTCCTCACCTCTGCTCTTGTGTGAAGCTTTTTTTTTAGTCGCTCTGCTGTGACTCCTGCTGCTGGACGAAGAAGACGACGATGAAGAAGAAGAGGAGGAAGAAGAGGACGAGGATCGCCTCCGCTTTTTCTTCTTCTCGTGTTTTTTGTCTCTGCCGGCTCTTTCCGGCGACCTGCTGCGATCCATAGCTACAGAAAAACTGTTCAAATATCACAAAAAGTACAAAAAATTACGGTGGAACAGCAAATCCAAAAAACTCGTTTTCGTTTACGGAAGTGTGCTCGTCTTTGATTTCCTTCCGTCGCCGCCGCCGTGACATGACAAAGGTTCCTAGTTCCTTCCAGTATCCTCAGTGATGGGAACAACGTAGACTTAATATGATAAAATAATTATTTATTATAAATATAAAAAATAATAGAACAACAAATGCAACTTTATGCATTTACTGTTAGCGGTAACAATCTTCGAAATGTGAAGTTTTATTAGAAAAGTGTATGAAAAGCTAAAGTGCTTGAGCAGAATGATCACAGTGTCGATTTTTGTTTATACTGTGTAGTTTAATCCTAAGAGGCTCTCAAAAGAAATACACGTCTGTTTTGTGACAGCTTTTGTGTGTGTGTGTGTGTGTTAAGGCAAGGATAAAATCATTATTTTGCACCACTCATCCTCACTAATGTCATACCAGGTAATAAGGGATCACAAATAGATTCGTATTTACTTTGAAAGTCCACAAACCTGCAAGATTTGGAACTACCAGCTCAATCAACAGGGATCATAATGAAAAAGCGAATCATTTTTATATTGAAAATCGTTGAATCTATGAGGAATCGGTCCATTCAGTCAGAGACGGTGGCCCATTTAGGTGGTTAGTACACAAAACAAAAACAAAAAGTCATGTACAATAAACGTCCAGCAAATTTTCATCCTTGCTTTAACAGCAATAATTTATTTTTGAACTTTTTTAGTTTTTTAATTCATTTTTTTGTGCATTTAACGTCAACATGGTGGAATCTACTCACACAAAAGACCTTGAACAGAAAGGAGATTTAAACAAACCTACAAACTTAAGGTAGATTATCCCTAGAGACATATTTACAAGAAGAGAACTAAAAAGAAAAAAATAAAGCAGGAAAAATAATGAAAAGGGCCCATTTATTTTTTTTTATCAGGTCAAATGCAACAAAAGAATGAAGGCCACCAGGTCAACTCAGCAGCAAGACTGCTCACAAATACTTGAAGGAGGGAAAACATAAGTTTAGACCTGGTTGTATATTACTTTATAATGTCTTTTTCTTTTTTTTTTAGCCTTGTGATAGACTGGTGACCTGTCCAGGGTGTCCCCTGACTTCACCCTGAGTCAGCTGGGATAGACTCCAGCCCCCCATGACCCTGGACATCTTTCTTTTAAGTTTTAATGACCTCTTCTTTTCATAAAGCACCCTGTAACTCCAGTTTTAAAGGTGGTATAGAAAGTATATTGTATCAGCAGAAGGCCTCTTTGGGAGAATCTAACTTTTGTGTGTGCAAAGAGCTTCAAATGTGTCACATATTCAGGTCACATTTCATGTTTTTTAAAGACTTTTTTTTTTTTTTGCCTTTTGGCTTTATTAGATAGGACAGAGAAAGACAGGAAAGTCGGGGGAGAAGAATGGGGGAAGGACCTGCAGCAAAGGGCCATGAGCAGGACTGGAACCCATGACCACTGCATCGGGGACTGTAGCCCCCATACATGAGACACCAGCTCAACCAGGTGAGCTATCATTTCATGTTTTTATCCCTTAACCGTGTTTTCACATGATTTGACAGAATTTGTGTGCACAGAAAACTTCAATGTGAGAACATATTCATCATCTTTATTTCAAAGTTTTTACAAAGGCAATTGTGAATCTTTAAAGCTTGTAAACTGATAAACGTAGTTGTTCCTGATGGTGTTAGCCCTTATCACTCTTGGTACATAAGGCTAAACTAAACTGAAAGAAAACCAACAGACAGGCCTCAGTCTCTCTGCTTCAGCTGCTCATCAGCTTCAAGTTAAATACTGTCACCTGTCCTCAGTTATGTTTAAATACTGTGTCACTGTAGCAATAAATAAAACAATCGCTTAAGAGTCCCGTAAAACCCCAAAGAAGAACATTGCAAATGATAAATACTGAAAACCCCAGTACAGAAAACATGCAGCTGCATGAGTGAATGTAACAGTCTAAACATGGCCAGACTTGAAGTTAGGAAAGGTTAAAGATGTCAGCAGAAAGAGAGCCGTAAAGCTCTCATCTTTCCAGTCAGTGTGCAACGGGAGCTCATCAGGTTGCTCCGAGTACAAAATGCGGAGGTGGTGGTGTTGGGGAGGAATGTGTCGCTGTTGGTGGGACCTGCTGGGACCCATTAGGACGCAGCGGCCATGCGGATCCTCTCTGGGGGGAACAGCAGGACGTTCTTGGCTGCTTTGATAGTGTTCTTCATGAGCATCGCCACAGTCATGGGTCCAACGCCTCCTGGCACCGGGGTGATGAATCCCGCCTTCTGTCTCACACCTGAATGTGGACGGTCAAAGGTATGATGTTACAGACGCCCCGAGACACAAAGCGAATCCCCACAGAAAACATGATCACATTCGTTCTCCAGCTTTACCTTCAAAATCCACGTCTCCCACCAGTCTGTTCTTCCCAGTGACCGGGTCCTGCACTCTGTTTATTCCGACATCAATCACCGCTGCTCCCTCTTTGATCATGTCCGCGGTAATCAGGTTTGGAATCCCTGACAGTTGAGAAACACACAGTTAGACAACCGAGAAAACTTAATCCACTCAACAGCTCAGTTACAGTCAGACACAGCTGAACAAACCTGCAGCAGCCACGATGATATCAGCGATTTTAGTGTGTTGGCGAAGTTGATCCTTTGGAGTGTAACGGTGAGAAATGGTGACTGTGGCATCACCTGCAGCAGGACAGAAGCGTTAATATACTCACTTGAAATCTTTTACATATCACATAATAATGAACCCTGACATCATAACTCACCTCCGGGCCTCTCGTGACGGCCGTCTGTGTGCAGCAACATGGCGATGGGCATTCCCACATTCTTGGAGCGTCCCGCAACAACAACGTTCTTCCCAAGAGTAGGAATACCTGCAAGATAAAAGATGGGAAAGTTAACTTAAACATTTAGTTTAGCAGCTTCTCAACCCTGAGAGGAAGCAAGAAGTCACTCCTGGTACCTGTGCGGTTTATAATTTCCCAGACTCCCCAGGGAGTGGCAGGAAGCATGGTGGACTGATCCAGGCACATGCGACCCACGTTGACTACGTGGAAGCCGTCGACGTCCTTCGTTGGGGAAACTGCATTGCAGATCGTACGTTCATCGATGTGTTCTGTCGGAGAACAAAGAGGAGTTAGAGTCAGGAAAAGTGAAGCAAAACAGTGTGCAAAAGTTCACAACTTAATAAACTACATATCGCTGTTTCGCCTTCAACAACAAAGAATCCTCACAGAGACAGCATGAAGGTGGGCAGTTTTGTCCTTTAAAGTATTTGCTGCCAACTGATACTTGCACTCAGTTATTTCCATCTTGGCTGACATCAAAACCTGTCTACAGGTGCAGGATTCTCTGCACTCATTCAACTCGTCTCACTTTGACAGTTTTTCTGTACCTGGCAGAGGCAGCTGGACCAGCAGGCCGTCCACGCGGTGGTCTGCGTTGAGCTTGTAGATCAAGTCCAGCAACTCCTCTTCGCTGATGTCCGAATGCTTGAGAATCGTCTCGCTTGAGATTCCTGTGGGAGGTCGAAGTGAGAAGACAACTCAACACACAAACAAATACTCGCCCTTTCGCTGCTACAATGTAGGTCAGCTGCGTTTTATCTCTTACCGACATCGGCTGCAGCCCGTGTCTTGTTCAGGACGTAGGAGTGACTGGCTGGGTTGTCTCCAACGAGGACCACGCTCAGATGGGGTCTCTTGTGTCCGGCTAAAACCCATTTCTCCACGTCGACCCGGGCCTCCTCGCGAATCTGCCGTGCAAGTTTCTTTCCTGAGATGACCACCGCCTCCTGCCTGAGAGTCAGAAAGGCCGTGAGGTCAGAGGGCAAGAAATCAATACTCAGCACAGTTTGCAAAGTGCCTTAAACGAACCGTGTACTTGTTCACAATGTGCAAACTCAAAAACAAGTTTGCACAGGTTCTGGAAAAAATTCTTCGTTAATCAGATCGTAAACCACAAAAAAGCGGTTAAACTATAAAAACTAAGCTGACAACATTCTTTCAAGTTGACTTATCTTTAGTGTGCAACTCCCTTATTAACTGTACATGATCCGTTTAACTGCTGCTGAAGAGGACACCAGAAACCTGTAATCTCTGACCCATGAAGCCTGGACCGGCACCTAAATCGGTCCTCTATAATTAGACGCAGCATGTCTCCACCTGACTGAGCCAGATGCTTCATGAGCACTGGCACTGTTACAGTACTTTAAATCACAGAGCTGCAATAAATTGGTACACACAAGCAATCGAGAGCAGCTTTTTTTTCTCTCTTTAAACCTGCAACAAGGGTTAAAACTCTGCGCAGTATTTATGAAGTTGCCCTACTGCTTTGTCCAAAAATCAAAGGCGCAAAGACGCTTCTGCATTATATAACAAACAGAGATCGGTTGCTAATAACTGAAGAGTAATGAGCCATTGAGAGTGATGTAACCGTCACTGTTGTTCTGCCAGAACTAATTAAACCTCACAGAAACGGGGCAGAATGAGGTGAGACCATGGGGCCAGTGTACCAGGTCCCAAAAGAAATGTGTCGAGTTTGCAGGGCAGCAAACTGCTCGTCACATACATTTAAATACAAAGCTCTGCTACTGAGGAAGAAGCTCTTTTCAAATGCATGGCTGCATCAACAGCTAATGCAAAGTGAGACCCAACACAGAGCAAAGTTGTCTCTTTTGTATGTAGCTGCAGCTGCATTCAGTTGATTCAGACTTTTTTTCTTGTTCTGTTTGCAGCTCAGTTTGCAGAAATGAGCCACACCTATATAATTCTAATTACTGTTCACCAAATTGACGTGACTCAACAAGATCTAGTTTAGTGCTGGGATGTAAGGTGACTTGTGCGTGACACGGGTTTTAATCATCAATCTTGTGCCTTGGTGGATCAGATCATGTGCAGGAGCCACGAGATTTAAGTTTTCAAGGCGTGTGTGCAACATTAGTCTGTCAGTCACTGGGATCATGCTGTACTCAGCACGTTCCCAATAAATACCTGCACACATGCCAAATTTCCATGTGTCTTGACTGATTGGTTGCCTGCAGCAAGTTTTTTTTTTTTTTCTTTTCTATTTTGAACCATCGTGTACCATCCAGGACTGAGTGTTCAAATGCACATCCATGTCTTTTTCCCTCCTTGCAGGACTGCACCTCGGGCTCCAGGCGAAACCTGGCTCCTCAAGCCACAGGGTGCAAGCGCTCAGGCCGATTTCATCAGCCAGCCAACCGCTGCAATGTTACCGGCAAAACGCTGGGGGCGCAGACTCTCATACTGCCGCGGACATTTAGTACAATTAAATTAATCAAACCCTCCTAGAATAAAACCTACCACCTCATCCATATAGCGGAAAAAAACTACATCTGAGGAAGCGCACAGGAAAGAAAAGGTGCCGGCTGGTCATGTTGGAAACAAACCTGCCGCACATGTCGTAAAATTGTTCCTACATTCACTCAGATCGCAGCAGATACATGATGGACTCACCTCGAGGCGGACGTGTGCAGTTTACAGACTTGGTGCTGGGAGTGTTGGCACAGTTTCCTGAGAGTCCTGACCGCTGCCATGGCTGACCGGCTGAGAGGAGGAGGAGGAGGAGAAGAGGAGACGCCACCGCCGGTTACGAAACAAACCAGCGCCCGGTCTGACAGAGAGTCAGTGGAGGAGGAAGAGGGCAGAGAGCTTTTAAAGCCCGGCCTCCTTTTACGCACGGCGCTGCGTCACTGCTATCTGCCGCCACACCTCTGCTGCACACACAGCCTGTAATTTTCCGACAAAACGAGAAGCTCACACACACACACACACACACACACTAAACAGCTGGTGGCTCCGTCTATCTGCTGGGAAACAAGTACAGATTTCTAAACTGAGCACAAAAGTACAGAAGTATAATCAGCAAAAAATATTAAAGTAAAAGTAGATTGACTGGTTCATACCATGTTCCAAAGGACGTGTAGTTCAATTACCAAATAAATGCTTGTAAATATAAAGTAGTGCACCAAAAAGTGCAACACTACTACTACTAATGAACTATACTAGGAGTAGAGTAAAGTAGCCTTATTAAATAAATGCATGTGGAAACTTTACTCTGAAGCAAAATTACTAATAATAATTTTTAAAAAACAAAAAAAAACCTAAATAGACAATCAGGTCCTGTATTCAAAATTTAAGGAAAAGTGCATGAAAAGCAATCAAAGGTGCTCTTTTAAGGGGGAGAATGACTCCTGACAGTTATATTATGACATATTATGGGATTACTAGTAACAATATATTAACACAGAAGCAGCATTTAGTTGGTACAGTTAATGTTAACGACTGTAGATATACTGTTCTACATACTTCATAACAGTACTCTGCATGTTATTCGCCCACTGTTGTTGCCAGTTTAGATTTATGCTGCTTGTGTGTGTGTCTTTGAGGCACTTGGTTGCTAGGGTTACCTGCACACCTGTGGGAATAGGTAGCAATCAGCCAGGCAGAGGCTTGATCAAGGAGACACAGGTGATCAGTGTGAGGGATCTGAGCCACACAGTTTTTTAACCGTGCCTGTGTGGGTGGCCGTCTTTTTATGGGTGTCACAGTATTTTTGTTTTCTGTGTATAGGAGTTCATTTCAGGTCGTTCAGCACCCGACCTTTTGTAGATGTCTTTTTAAGATTTGCAAGTTAAATAAAGTGTTAAACACACGTCCATGGCGGACCTTGTTTTTATGCACCATCACAAGTTGGAAATGCCTTCAAAATCCCTCAAGTGGCATTTTTTGTAGGTAGATTGCCGCTACACCCACCATAGTTTGTTTTCCCTTAAATTTATCTACAGGGTTACAAATACAGTTGAGTAAAAAGTACAAAGTTTTCCTCTAAATTCTTGTTGTAGTGAAGAATTAGTAGATCAGATTCTAATTTATAACTAAAGTAAATAAATCAAGTATAACTAAAAGCAAAACTACAGAAATACTGTCAACAAAATACACTTTAGGGAACCAAAAGTTTAAAAAAAATACTCCTTCAGGTAGAATTGTCCCAGTCAGAGCTTTATTATTTGAGATTATTCTGCTTAATGAATCATTAACAGATAAGCTGCATTTAGTTGGTTGCGGTACAGCAACTTTTTAATTACTTTACAAATACTATTTGGAGGTTTAATGTACTTTATTACAAGGCTTTGCAATTTATGTGCTCACCATCATTTTTTTAATGTATGCTATTACAAAATAACAAATACTACGGCATAAAATGTAAAGTATTTGTCATTGAGATATAGTGAAGTACAAATATCACATAGCATAAATGTAGCTACTCATTTATATACAATTACATCAGAACTGTACTCCAACAAACTACTTGATTAAATGCAGTAATTTTCCATGAAGGCCCAATTAAACTGTAAAGGCAAATATTTGCCATTGCGCCACGACCGATGCTCACTTTCAACTTTACCTTGTAGCCACCAGATTTCAATTATATACATAGAACATACCGGACTAAAAACAGCCCAAGGCCTAATACTTTCGGTAATTTGTTAAAACGCAACTATATTTAGCCATTATGTGAGCAAAACAGAAACTACAAACACTTAAGTCCTACCTACAATAGTTAATGTACACTTGTAGTGCAGATTAGATAACAACCTTGAATTCTTTGTAAGTATTAAAATGATCTAAAGCTAATTGGCCTACAATAATTCTGTGATTTTGCTCAGTTGTTAATTCAGCTTTGCTTTCCACCACTTGCTGGTAACTGCTCATTTATGGAGTTGCTACCAGTCTATAAAGAGAAATTTAGACTGAGATGCTCTTACAATGAAACAGCTTTGTTACAAAATAACTCATAGCACATCAGATAAGATACATTTTATTGATCCCACACCAAGGAAATTATTATGTTACAGCAGCTGGGTACAAATGAGGCATGAAAGAGCTGGACAAGAACTACAAAAGTGCACTAGGGTTTAAAAAAAAGGAAAAAAAAGGAGACTAATAAAGGTTTCCTACAGACAGTAAACAAGGCAGGATGAATTTACATATTGTCAAGGCCCAAGAGAGCCATAGTAAATTTACATATGAATAGAATAGAATAGAATAGAATAGAATAATACATTATTGATCCCCCATTGTGAGAAATTTACATGCCATAGCAGAATCCAAAAATATAGAAAGTCAAAAAAAATAACAACAATTCAGTAATATGCATCCCTAAGTGCAGCTATGACATGGTGAGTTAACACATGGGTATGTACAGATAGGACATAATGAGTAAACATATGGATATACATGAGCTGATGAATTGACATATGTACAGACGTGACACGGAGGATAATGTACCCACGTTTCTGTTAATTCAGTCAAAACCTATTATTGGGAGAAAAGACCAGTGTAAACATGACACACGAAGAGCTGTAAGAGAACAGTGTGATATTTTGTTGATTGATCTGGAACAGAGAACACAGTTTTACATTTTTGTTGTCGGGTGGAATGGAGCAAACATTGATTGTTTAAGAAGAGCTATAGAGAAGCAAACTGTGTTAAGAGATGCTGTATTTCCAGCAAAACTACTTTATGAAGCCCTTTTACAGCAGCAGCCAAGTGCTTTCCAGTAAAACAAACAAACAAACAAAAAACAACATAAGACTATTTAACAGGTTTAAATATTGAAGTTAAGACCCTACAGTGTTATTTATGATGTGATTTTACGCAAATGTTCTACACAATATAGATTTAAACCCTACAAACATTTGGTTAAATACATCTTTTCCTGACAATAACAAATATAAAGGCAAGAGACCTCACAGTGTTATTAATTAGGAAGATGAGCCTAACTAATTCAGAGCCAAAGTTATTACTTTACAAAAGTATGCATGGAAACCCAACATATCCAAGGATTCCCTGTGAGCAAGCTTTGTAGTTTTATGGGTTTTTTTTGTTTTTGTGTTTTTTAAAGAGCACACGAGAAACGCCTAAATGACATCAGTCCTCCCCTTGAGAACTTCAGGAGCGTGGCCGGGCTGTAGTACCTACATGTGGCCTGCAGGGGGCGACAGTCTGCGGGCTGAGCCGCTGCAGTCCGCCGACAGAGGAAGAGCCTCAGTGGGTGCAGTTAGCCGGAGCGTCGCTGTTAGCAGGCAGCGCTGACAAGTGGTTAGCGTGTAATTCTAGGACACATTTCTGTTTACCAAACTAGACTCAGGGGTTTTAATCGAGGCTCTTCGACGACTGCAGCGCCAAGATGAGCTTCTTGTTGTAAGTAAAGTTAGTTTTCATGAAGGCCACTAAGAGCCGGAGCTTGCGGTTAACGTTAGCTGCGCTTCTGCGAAGTTCCATCAAGGGAAGTAAGTGGTGTTAAAATAAGACACCGTTACAGAAAACTAGTCAGCTAACCGCACTGCCGTCCCGGAGAAGTGTAGGTTACACTTAAACCGACTTTATCTTACACGGGATTACCAGTCGTCGACGTAGCGTTATCTGCGAGCTTGTGTTTATTTATAGTTTCCGAGCCCTCGCAACTTTTTTAACTAGTGAGTTGCTAACTTGGCTAGCCGGATGATAGCTCACGGTTGGTTAGCCAACTTAGCTTCACTCCTCCATCTGTTCAGATAAGACTAGCCATGCTAACCTTCGTCATCACCCACGCCTCTGCTGTCTTGTCTCTTCTGTCGGGGGTTACCAGATGTCGTGCAGTGGTGGTTTATTAACACTTCCGTTGTTTACAGCAGCACTGTGATACTGTCACTAAGTGGGCAACCACTGTGACCTGCTGATACCGACACGCTTTGTAGAGAGTCACACTGAAAACAAGTCTAAACAAGTATTTTCGCTTTGAAAGGTGACATGACAAATATGGCAGTGATTACACATCATGACTCTAAGTTCATAGACGTTCACCCTGCAGCCTGCAGCTGCTGATTGCACAAACCAGACAGGAAGGACCGTCATGTGTTCAGGCCCCAGAGAGCCGTCTGCTCCCACACAGGCCTTTTAAAAGTGTCACTGTCAAGGCAGGTTTATTCCTTACAGCCCAGTGTCACACATCACAAATTTACCTCAAGGGACTTTGTAATTACTGCAACGTACATCACGCTTTGTCCTTACACTCTTGATTTTAATAAGTGTGAACTGCAAAAACACCCCTTAACTTGAAAACTAAATGGATGTAAAGTCAGGAATAACAGCTGAGCAGGGATCCCTCTTCCAAGATGGACATCGCAGCACAGCAGATCAATAACACATACACTTGAGATCAAAACATCTTACAGTGTTATAGGGCCTGTGTCACATGGCCACAACGACAAGCTAGAAAGCACATAGACACACAGGAGGCGCCGGTTTCACTTGTGTACACACAGTTGCTTAGCTCCACGTTTATTTCTTTACAGTGGCAATCGCTCGTCTAAAACCTTCAAGCCGAAGAAGAACATCCCAGAAGGCTCCCACCAGTATGAGCTGCTGAAACACGCCGAGGCAACGCTGGGCAGCGGCAACCTGAGACAGGCTGTCATGCTGCCAGAGGGAGAGGATCTCAATGAATGGATTGCTGTCAACAGTATGTGAATTAATACAATAAACCCACACGCCTAGTATACAAATAACAATTCCTTTTTTCTTTTAACCAATGTTAGGATTAAACACAAATAATCCTTGTGTAGAGATTGAGCATTGTATGTTTTAAATATGAATGCACGTTAAAAAGCAAGTTATCCTGTGTCTAAATACAGGAGCTGCAATTTTTAAAGTCACAATGTATGATGTAATATAACTGTATAATGCATAGTAATGTGCAGGTTCTATTCAGCTGAAAAGTATTACTTAAATATTGTAATTAGGATCATTTCTAGAGAACATAAATGCTAATTTGCCCTTTCCTTCAGCGGTGGATTTCTTCAACCAGATCAACATGCTGTACGGCACCATCACTGAATTCTGCACTGAGACGAGCTGCTCTGTGATGTCTGCAGGACCGAGGTAACCACAAACTTTGTTCCTTCTATGCGTGCAGCGTCTAAATTTCCACAGAAGACTATTTAACACACTAAGAAAAGTGCAGGTGTAAAAGATAAAAAATTCTATTTAGCAAGTTTATTATTAAATGATTGATTAAAAAGGCCACTACATGTGTTTTATAGAATTTTAAGAAGGAAGCAACTTGAGAAGAGTTAACAGAGACAAAAGATATTGTACACGAAGCTTGTCTTCTTTAAGTAACATACTTTTTATAACACAGTGAAGGCACATTCTCACACTGGGGGAAGAAAGCAGTTTATCAGTTTTCTGAAGAAGCATCTGCCTTTGTCTGGCGTAGTGTTTAAAACCAAAATGAATGTTTTTGCTGAAGAAGAAACTTGTGGGGGGATTTAAAACACAACTAAATTTATGTTTTCAAGCATGTATGAAATGAAAGGAAGCAATTACACTCCCGGACAGAGAAGTAAATCTCAGCAGACGCTGTTAATTCTTGTTTTGGTTCAGACTCTAAATGTGTGTGAATTGAAGCCTTGTGAACTGAGCTTGATGGCGTGTACACTTTCTCATATCTTTTTCACATATTTCTCATATGTCTCACAAGTAGTCCTGTTTGTGACACATTACTTGATTTTATGATCAGAACTGGGACACTACAATGCTCAAGGAGCCCTGCTATGGATTTAGAATTTAACAGTTGAGACAGTTAAAGTAGTTTAAATTGGAATATGTCATCTGAATGTCACATGAGGAAAACAGGAATTAAGCTTTGCATGGGGTCACTGTAGCAGTTGTTTAGTTAGAATCTAGATCTTGCACTTCCTCTATGCTCTCCGGCCAACACTGTCGATGTTCAGCCTGTAATCAGGAGGAAGAGACGGGGGCTCGCTTCCTGTTGACATAGCCGCCATTAAGAATATGAGTCCTGATGCTTTTTACATTTCCCTCTTCTGTTCTTTTTTTAGCTTATCTGTTTCCCAGTGATGTTTTCATGCCATGACGAATGCTTGTTCGATTTAGAGCTTTTATGTTCTTATCTGTAGGTCTGCCATGTCTACTCAATCAAGTGTTTAACATGAGCACTGCCAATTAATTGTTTTCTTTCTCTGTAGATATGAGTATCACTGGGCTGATGGCACCAATATTAAAAAGCCTATCAAGTGCTCCGCGCCCAAGTACATTGACTATTTGATGACCTGGGTGCAGGATCAACTGGATGATGAGACACTTTTCCCCTCCAAGATTGGTGAGTTTTCATTGATCAGTTAAAGATCTTGTGGTGATTTGGGTCACAGTTTCATGGCTGTGGAAGTGTGTTACTAAGAGGGAGAGAGAACCAAACAGGCTATTTGTTCTCCAGCAGACCAAACAACTACATATGTCCCGTTTATTTGATTTTGATGTTGTCTTTTCACACACAGTACCGACCGTTCTCTTTTCTTGAACTTTTTTCTTAGCCTTTGAGAATTAAAAGTGACATCGTCTGTCTTTCGTGCTTTTTAAACCAAAGACCAAAGAGCAGATAAATGTACTTTCACAGGATCTTGAGCTGTGTACTTAGCCGTCGGAGGGCAGCAGTCCAACAGCTTCTGAACAAAGCGACAGTGTGATGTTATTGACTGACCAAGTCAGTCACCTGACTTCAGTCCAGCTGCAGCGTGTCTTGCATGCTGAAGAGGAGACTGAAAGCAAAAAACCCCTTTACAAGGAGTTGTGCCTGTTTGTGTCCTGCAGCGAACTGTTTTCACTTGGTGTCAGTTTATGTGAACTTGTCTAGTTTCTTTTGGTCTCGTAAAGGTTAAAAGTTCTTCACAGTTCATCCTCGTGTGTCAGAATGTGACGCTATCAGATCAAAACTGAAAGTTACAGCTTCAAACTTGGTTGTCATTTTGTTTATATCAAAAACCCAATGCGGTGGACCACAGAGGAAACACAACACAAATGTCTTGCTGTCCTGAAACTGTCTGACTCCGCTACACCTCCACTCTGCAGCCAGTGTAAACTTTGCTTTGTAACTTTGTGCGTGTGGTGTTTGTGTGAACATTTTTACCAGCTGTTCATACTTGGACTTGAATTTTAATTAGGCAAGTAAGCAAAGAGTACAAGTGCAATAAATTCTAGTTTCACACTGATGTTGGCCGAAAGGCATTGTAGACCTTGAAACGGCACATGTTGTTCTCTTGAAATCAGTATTTTCCACCACCTTCTGTCCAACAGGAGTCCCCTTTCCCAAGAATTTCATGTCCGTGGCCAAAACCATCCTGAAGCGTCTGTTCAGGGTTTACGCTCACATCTACCACCAACATTTCGACTCTGTGATGCAGCTGCAAGAGGAGGCTCACCTCAACACCTCCTTCAAGCACTTCATTTTCTTTGTTCAGGTGAGATTATCCCACTACAGTATGACAATAAGAACTACTCACATATGAATACAAACAGACATGTTGGTAAAAGCACCAACAAGATAATAATAACCTAATCTAAATGAAACTGGGACTGGAAATGAGGCTTTAAAGGCTGAACCTCGTTTAGCTCATCCAGTCTAAAGAGAGACCCTCTTGTTAGCTGTGGTTCTGTTGCTATAAAGGCATGGCATTTCTCCAACACTGACTTGAAAGATCAGTTCTGCCTCATGTAAAGAACAGAATAACAAGAAATGTTACCAGGACGTAGAGTACATAACCTAATGTTTCATACATTGTGCATAATGCCCTCGTCCCGTATATGCAGACACTGAGACTCCATCTGCAACAGTCCTGGCATGTTTGAACAGAGCCGACATTGTTTTTTTCCATAACAGAAACCTTTACATAAAAGCCAAAAAGTTGTTAGTTGAACAAGCAGATTAAGCCTTCAATTTTCACGATTATATGTCTAAAAAGGGCTTATGAGATTTTGACACAAGACGGAGACTGTTGGCGTGTTGGATTTGATCCAAATTGCTCAGTAAAGTTGGACAGTAAAACAATCCTGATAGTTGTTAATTTAAAATTCCCTCAATAAAAATGATAACGATAGACCATGTTGGCTGCGGAGAGTGTTTAGTTAATAATTCAAAATTGAATGATAGTTTGGAAATCAAACACATTTTTATTGATTTGTTGACGCCAATTCCATAAGAGTCATTAAGAAAAATTAATTTAAAGTCTGTTAATCAGTTCTGTAACAAGGTTCCATCGTGCTCGCAGATCAACAGTGTGCTGAAAACACTTAGCATGCATGTACTGCTATCTGTTTGCACCATTAGTCATGCCAGTTGAATACTTGTGTGTCATTCTTTTGACAATAAGTCATGATCTAGCATCACAGACGACCTGCTCAGTTGTTGCTTAGGTGAACCGCACAAGTTGTGTGATTGTCTCATAACAATCACCTGAACTTAACAACTGCTTGTCCAAAAATACACAAGTACAGCTTTGGACTCTGCTGTCATTACAGTAAAGTAGCTGGTTAACCCCAAAATATTCAAGAAATCAGAAAAGAGACCACCGTTGCTATGGTTACAATTACTTTGTCTAACTCTGTGTGTCTGCTGATAACATTTATCTGTGGTAAGTATCGTTTCACACAACTCTGCTGTGAAGAATGTAGGACGACAACATAGTCATGAACAGTGACCGAGAACACAACACACACTCTTGTAGTGTATATAATTCTTATCTGGGGACCTTACAGCAGACTAAAGTCACATTCTTACCCCTTACAGCAACACTTTACTGTGACTGCAGCAACATGCTGCTACTTCTCTCACACACCAGCAGAGACTCTCTTCCCACAACAATTTGTCTTGTTTGTGTTACCACCGTCCTTAAAGGGGACGTGCAGCCAGGCTGTAGATGTTCAAGGATTCAAGGTCTTTTATTGGTCACAAACACAGTTATACATGGTATAACGTGCAGTGAAATTTGTTGTGCACCTGTTCCACACCAAAACAATAATAATTAGATAAACAAGAATAAGGAATAAAACGCACAAAAAATGAAAAAATATGTATGTATATATATGTGTGTGTGTGTGTGTGTGTATATAAAGAGAGAGAGAGATAGAAATAACAGCAATAAGTAAATCAAATTGACAAACAGTGCATAAAGGGAATAGAATAAATAAAGAATAAAAATAAGATTATGTACATGTATATGTAGAAGGTGAAAAGTGCGAAGTGACCAGTTGGATTGTTATTGAGTCTATTGTCTCAGGTTCAGCAGGCGGACTGCCTGAGGGATGAAGCTCCTCCTCATCCTCTCTGTGTTTGCCTTTAACGCCGCCCTGACGGCAGCAGAGAGAACAGTCTGTGGCTGGGGTGGGTGGGCTCACTCACAATCTTCCTGCCTTCAACCTGCATCATTTGGTGTAAATGTCCTGCAGGTTGGGGAGGGTGGTTCTGATGGTGCGCTCAGCCGAGCGGACCACCCTCCTCAGGGCCAAGAAGTCCTGCTGGGTGCTGCTGCCCATCCAGGTGGTGATGCTCCCAGCCATAACACTCTCAATGCTGCAGGTGTAAAAGTTCCTGAGCACCTTGAGAGGGAGCTTCAAGTCCCTCAGGCATCTGAGGTGGTAGAGACGCTGTTGAGTCTGGAGGGGGTTATGGTGTTGAACGCTAAACTGAAGTCCACAAACAGCATTCGCACATAATTCCCCTTCCGAGTGTCCAGGTGGGCCAGGGCTGTGTGTAGCAGGTGATTTATGGCGTCGTCTGTGGATCTGTTTGGCCGGTATGCAAAAGTTTCAGTTTTAGCCCTATTTAATGCACGAACAGACCGCTAGTCTGGTTATGTATGAGTGTAAATCACAAAATGAGATCGCTAAGTAACCGATTCTATATTAATCATATGTTTGTTCTTTTTCTCGTAGGAGTTCAACCTTATCGACAGGCGAGAGCTCGCTCCTCTGCAGGACCTGATCGAGAAGCTGGGATCCAAGGACAGATAGATGTTTCATCACGCGTCTCCTTTTTTCTTCTTACATTTCTTTTCTCTCTTTTGTCCCTCTCTGTGACCTCTTCTACCTCTACGACTTCTAGCCTCAACTCTTACAATCTGTGCCTTCTTCTTTACATTTCCTGAATGTTTGTACTGTACTTTTCTTTTTATTCCTTTCTGTTCTCTTGGATGCTGTCTTTGAGCCCTTTTTCCCCCATTTTAGCCTCTCTAGATCATATAATATAGTGTAGAGGAGTAAAACTATTTTTTCACAGGACTGTGGTTAACGACTCTGTAAGAGCAGCCGACTGAATTTTATATTGGACCAAGGACATTTGGAAGTCGAACAGCTTTTCAGAAGTTGTTTTACAGTCTTTCGATTGTCTGAACACTTGCTAGTTGATTCCTTTTTGTTAACTTTGAGCTATTGTCATTACAGTGACTGACCAAATATCCCAATTGTAGACTTTTTTTTTTACACGTCTGTCATTGGTGTACAGGAGAGAGTAGCAGGAAAGAAAAGTAGTGACATTAAATAGGTTTTGGGTGAACATTTGTAAACATAATAATACGACGGCAGGCACAACAATGCACCAGTATATGGTATAAACCTGATTTCCCGCATGGTAACACAGTTCCTATTGACTTGCTCTTTGCCACAGTTACACGTGAAGAGATGCAGTGGTAGATAATTCTGCGAGGCCTTTGTTCTTGCCCCACAAAAAACACCACCATCGACTGCATACAGCTATTTCAGTTTGGTCATGCAATATTGTGTTTGCACTTTTTTTTGGCTATTTTTTTTTTAAATGGTAAAATGTGAGATATAGTCCTTACAGTGATACTTTTTTTTATCTGCTATTAAGTAATTGTTAATAGCCACTTAAAGCTTATGTAATGACCCTAAAAGCTGTATAGTATAAGTCATCCTGTCAACAGCAAAAATAGTCAAATGTGAATTTTTATTTTTACTATCATTTCAGTTCATTTCTGTGGTGCCGATCAATTATGGAGTTTTTTTTTTTTTTGGTTTGTTTGAATGCTGGTACTTTTTTTTTTTTTCTTTTTTTTTTTAACTAAATAATTCCCCCCTTGATTGGAAAATAGAGTGATAACTATTGTTCCTGTACACTTAAGATGTATGTAGTTTTTCAAAGTCTTTATTAGTCTTTAGTGCATTTTTAATTGTCACGGTCATTTCCTACACTTCCTCTGGCGACAGCAGCAGGGCTGTTTGTACTGCCATCCTTTTAAAAACTGATGCAGCTAATATTCCTGATGAGCGTTTTGTCCGGCTTAGTCTGATCAAGGGAATTGGTTCAGAACCTGCTTCACATTGGACCTAAATTTATATCAGACAATCCTGTAACCAATTACGACGAGTTAATGTTTTAAATGCATTGACAGGAACTAACCGATGGAATCAAAGGCAGCAGAGTGTTCATTTTTTAATTCACCACTTTGTAAAAAAAAGACTATTCTCATACCAAGGCACAAGCTTTCTCATAATGTGAAAAAAATCTTTCATTTTTTTCAAGTACAATTTATATACTTTAAGGCCCACAAGTTGCTCGGCAAAAAAAAGAAGCCGGCACCCTTGAAGTCATGTCTGTAGGCATGTCCAGCCTTCACTGTCAATATATATTCAGTCACATATTTGTTGAAATGTATTGCTTTTTGTCACAATTTTATTTTTAAGCTTTTGGTATGGAGTTACATTTAATATTACATTGTACAATGTTGGCTTTCTCTTTTGAATCATATAAAAAAAAAACAAGGGCTTTGAAATTAATGAAAAGTTTTTATGTTTATTTTCAATATTGGTCCAGTCATCAGGTGGTTATTCAGGAGTTGCAAGGATGTTTGTACCACGTCCACACATTTGCTGTAAATAAGATCAGTGTTTTATCTGAACAAAACTGTGCCTTACAATAATGAAAACGTCTGATGAGACAGTATTGACTGATCAAAAAACGCAATAAACACTGAAAGGACTGTGTCGTGTTGTCATTTTGTGTGTGTTGAAGAAAATGGAGAGAGCTATGTAAATTGACAGCTTGTGCAGTTGTTTTTTTTTTTTAAATGTACGCATTTTTTGACATCCGTACCACAACTTGAGAGGAATGTGTTGTGTTTCCAAATATAGGATCTAAATTTAAAGCAGCAGTATCACCCGAGACGGTTTTACACGGTGCACTGTGCAGCTCAGCCAATCACAGTCGAGCCTGGAGCGACGCGACTTTTTTGTTTTTTTACCCTGAGTGCAGACTGACAGTTACATCTGACCCTTAACATAAACACGTATGGCTGCCAACATTAATCATCCAGATGCCTTCCAGTGGAGGTAGACCGTCTTCAGCGCTATGCTTTGTTATTAAAGGATTAGATTCGGTTTTGTCCGTGTTGAAGAAGATATGGTGATTTATTGGTACGCAACGACGCTGAAGTTAGCTTCTGATTCAGCAGTTAAGGGAAAAGTTAAGGGGAATCTGCAGCGCATTGGAACCGGATTTACATTTAACAATGAAAAACCTTGTTGGACATTTTAGATGCTGTCTGCAAACAGTTCCAAGTCCGTGACACTTGTATTCTATTTGTGAAAATGCTAAAATAAAATAAACTACAAATACAAATTAAAAATAAATAAAAAATAAAATAAATAATAAAGGAGATTTCCCTGCTGCAAGACCCAGCTTGATGAAGTCCAGATGAAAAAACACCATATAAGTCAAATTTGGACTATTTAGTCAAAAAGACAGTAAAGAATCTTTAGAACTATGATTTATTAAACATTTTTTCTGTTTGTTAGTTCACAAAAACGAGATTTTACTGCTTTTTGGGGGGCGTGAAGGCCACATAAAACCAGGTACGGATCAAAAACACTATATATTGTACACTGGTCATATCTGGAGCTGGACTAGAATATACTAGAGAGGGTAAATATTCTTTTAAACACAGTGTCCAAATTACATAGTCTTTATTCTGTTAGCATTTAGCATTTTCATGAATAGAATAAAGGTTTTTTTTATAAATCAGGAACTGGGTTTCAAAGACTTTTTAGTCTCTGTACAAAAATTTAGTCCAGATTTGACTAAAGCGGTTTTAGGTTTCAGGTCTAATGGTGCAAACAAAAAGCAGTGAAACCTCTTTTTTCCCATTAAAAGCAGGTTTTATACAAAAACATCTGAGCGGTGCTTTGCCATCAGTTTACCTTAACTTTTCCCTTAACTGCCGAATCTGCAGCTGACTTCAGAGTCCGTGGCAGCCTGACAGGCCTGACTCGGGGCATCAATCATCTGGTGTAAGGACAGAGCAAGGAGGAAATAACGAACTGTTTTTTTGGGGGGGTAGTTATCACCAAGTAGTTAGCTGTCGTGTGTGAGTTCGGTTAAATATTATCAGCTGACTAAGGGCAACGTCAACACGGGTGTGTTGGCTTCGCTTGGACCGGGCGGCAGGAGCAACAACGGCCGGACTTTACATTAGCTGCTCGCTTTGTTAGCTACTGTACTCCGGAAAGAGCAGACAAAGTTAGTTAGCTAGCGTCGCTACGTGGTGTTTCCTAGCGGTGCATTTAATGCTAGGCTACGTAGCTAGCTAAAGACCGCACAGCTAACACTGTACAACTTTTTGAGAGAGTTCAAAATGCGCGTTGATTAAGGTGGAAGAAGAATCTCTTTGCTAAACCAGGCTACCGTCTTCGGCTAACGTTAGCTGCCTGCCTGCAAAAAACACCGGGTGAGCAAAGCGAAAGTGCTTCTCAATCAGTTTAATTTGCTAACGACAGAGGTAGCAGTCTGTACATTAGCTCTGATTATCTATGGGGGCATCTTTAACTGAACTCAGATGCCGGTGTCTCTTAAATTATGTTGACGCCATGAAACTCGGATAACACTTGTTGAACTAATCAATCACGAATTCCTTTTCTGTAGCTACAAATAGTGCATGTTTACCTTTCGAGACACCAAAGCTACCAGACACAGCTCGGTTAAATCACAGTCTGCTGACTCTCCTGACAAGTTGATGTGTCATTACAACTCAGTGTCTCCACAGGCGTTGGTAAAGTCATGGCAGATGAAAACACACAGTTCTGTGGCAACTGGTAAGTACCACTAATGCTTGAACAATAGATTTATTAACGATTGTTGATGTGTCTGTTGATTATTTTTTTTAGATTAATCAATAGATTGTTTATAAAATGTCAGAATATAGTGCAAAATGTCCATCAGTGTTTTCCCAAGGCCCAAGATGACAAATGTCTTGTTTTGTCCACAACATGTTCAGTGTACCATTATGGCAGAGAAACTAAACCAGAAAATAGTCACTTTTAAGCAACAGGAGTCAGAAAATTTTGGCTTTTTTTCTTTAAAAAAATTAAAAAATGAGATTGATTGTGAACACAGGGTTTCACTTTCTTCTTTTTTAGCAAGCATGACATTCCAGAGGCTAATTTTACGACCCATGAGATTCACTGTCGAAGAAACATTGCGCTGTGCGATGTTTGCCAGGAGCCAGTTCCCCGGGCAGATCTTCAGGAGCACAAGCAGCAGGAGCACACACAGGTACGATCTGAACACTAGCGCTGGAGTTTAGGAAATTAGATCAGCGATAGATGTGTTCTGCTTTTGATGTGTGTCTGTTGCCAAAAGAGGGGAAAATGTGTGTTAATCTACACACGCCAAACACTCAATGATCACATGTTAACTCTAGTTAATTTCACTGGGGACATGAACCTGTGACTTCTGTTACGATTCCGTGTTAGGAGTCAAACTGCCATGTTGTAACCTTAATGGTTTGTCACTACAATAGATGGAGAGAATCCTTGTCTTCTTTGGTTATTTTTGACTCTGGCTGATATTAATTTACTGCTGGGCCACCTTGTGTGTGCTCTAGTCCTCATTCCTTATAACTTTTTTTGCTTGAAGTAGGGTTATTGCCAATAGAAGTTACTCTTACTTAACTTAGGTTGGCTAACGGAGCAGCTCTGTCAATGAAAAATCACCGCAGTCATCAGCTTCCTCAAATCGTTGCCCAACAGTAAACGATTAACAACAAAGCAACCTCAGACTGAGACTGTATGATTGTAACTGTAACAGCATTTTAATTTTAATTTCAGATTACATGCAAGTGTGGCTTGAAGATTGAGAAGAATCATATTGAAGCTCACCAGGTAACGCTGAATAATATTTTCCTTCCCTGTTTGTAACTCTAATATTTATCCACCGTGAATACAATACTTTAAATGTGTTTCCTCATGATGATTGTCTCTTGCAGAGCTCTGAATGCTCTCAGCGGCTGGTCCCGTGCCAGTACTGTGAACTGGAGCTTGTTTTCAGTCAGTCCAAAGAGCATGAGGACTATTGCGGCACACGCACTGAGCCTTGTCCTCACTGCAAGTGCAATGTAATGCTGAGGGAACAAGCTGTGCATCCAATCCTATGTGGAAGCCTCACACCACCCCAAGAGAGGAACAACAGCAGGATGAGCCGCAGTCCAGTGGACCAGTCTCCAGGTGCATGGTTTGAAGCCCACTCTATCCGAAACCTCCTAAGAGCCCAAGAAAGGGGCCCCAAGAACAACAACATCAGTGCAGCAGAACATCAGTCCTTTCCTCGGCCATTTGATCCCCCAGCGTATAACTCTTTAAGGGCACCTCAGACCTCAGGAGACTGGAAGACTCCTGCACCACAGAATGCACCATTTAGCCACTGTAAGTGTACTTTATGTTCAGTTTAGTAAAAGGGGAAAATGTGCCAACAAGACTGAACTATGTATTTATGCTTATCAGTTTTAAATAACTGTACCAGCAGTTTAAAAGTGCCCCGAAGAAGTGAAGTGTTATTTTCAACTTTTTTCCTTATGTGAGGACGTCTGGGGAAATTAGTTTTGCAGGCAGAGGACATGCAGCAGATGCCCCTGGAAAATATTAATTAGGAGAGATTTTGCAGGCTCAGCAATAGACACAAAGGTGGTCCCTGGCAGAGGGCCAGAGAATGTGTTGGACATGTTGCCAAGTTTTGACTGTGTGTATCGCTTGAACAGCAATATGGAACTTAAACAATGTGATGGAAAAGTAGGAGTTTGACATGAAGCGGTTGTCAGAAATAATAATAAGAATAAATCCTAATCCTTTAAATATGTTTTTCTCCCATTGTTGTACTCATAGATTGGACCCGACTTGTTGTGCTGCTGCTTTTAGCCACAGATATTCTCTGAATCGATTCTAAAATTGTCTTTCAGTGCTGGGGCAGAGTGATTTCCACCACAGCAGCAGCAGCAGTGTGTGGCAACGCAGCGAGCACACGCTGGACGAGGATTCGTCAGGCCTCGACTACATGTTGGCTCTCAGCCTGCAGAGTGACGGAGAATCTGTGGCGGGAGGCATCGAGGGAAACATGTGGAATGACATCTGGGATCACAAGATTGGGAAGACTAACACCTCCGTCAACTCTCCACTGTCTCCGCCCAACAACAACTACCCAAACTTCTCTGTAGGGACAAGCTCAAGTGCAGTCCAGGACCACGATCAAGCGGGTAAGAAAGTCAAGGTTGATCAGGATGATGTTGTTCAGCTGTCAGTTTGTTAATCGTTTAAAATTGTTTTTATAGATGCCATGTTGCCTTGTGAGTTTTGCGAAGAGCTGTTTCCAGAAGAGGACCTCATTCTGCATCAGGTTTGAAAATGCTTCTGGCTGCACCATCGCTCGGCTGTCTGACTCATGACGAATATTTTTTGGCAAAGATACCTTAAATATGGGGATTAAATTGTGATTGAAGCAGGATGATTTCTAAACATGTGAACTGCACGCCTACAAACTAGTCAGCCTTCTGGAAAACTGTGTCTTTTGGCTCAGTCTCATGAAAAAAAGCACTGCAATCACAGTAGATGAACAGATTTCCTAAGAAAACCATCATGTGTCACATTAATAGACTTGTAGAATATTTGCTTTCAGTATTAATAAGGCGATTCAATTGTTGTTTTTTGCTGATTTTAC